CTGTTCTCCATCAACCCGTAAATATTTACATTCTCCTCTCCCCAATCTTCATTTTTTCATTGAAAAAAAAATCAATTTCTGCCCCAAATCTCTCATCTCCCATTCGCCTCCAGCAATTCTCATTTGATTTTCCAATAATTCCATATCCCATATCTCGATAATAATATCCGCGTCGAATTTCCTCCCAATCGATTCCAATTCATTAGACTCTCAATTTTTTTTTCAGTGAAGAAGACGACTGGAAGAAGTAATTATGGAAATCTAGGGGAGTTTCGAGGGAAATAAAGCGAAAGTAAACAAAATGAGTGGTCAGCTGAGCATAAAAGTGAGACCAGAGCCACGTCTCGATACAAAGTGGTTGAAAACCGATTTGCAGAGATTTCTGTGTCGAGATGGTTTGGCCGAGTTGTGGAATGGAATGGTGAGAGATGGAGAAATCGTTGGAAGCTTCAGCGATGGACTCATCAATGCTGCAGGAGTTGTTTCGAGGAAAGGTGACCGTTATCAACAGTTTCACCATCACATAGACATTTATTGATTTTTTCCAATGCTCATCTCGTTCCAAACAATCTCCCCAGGAAATAATATTTTTGGCTACACCTAAACATTTGACACCAATAGAAATTACATTATCTTTTAATTTAATTGTTGGTGTCAATTTGATTTCTAGGTGACAGTGGGCATTACTATTGCAGCTTGCGAGTGCTCTCGTGCCTGTGCTGTGATGGGATATGCGGTCCCCAGAGTGGCTGCAACTGTGGCCCGTGCCAGAAGCTGGACGAGGAGGAAGCGACGCTCGACGAGGAGATATCCTCAAACGTCAAAGACCCAGACAAGTCCCCCCCATTGGCCCAGAGTACGATGGACTCGTGGTTGTGGAGCACAAAGCCCTCGAAAACGGATTGGGAGATAAGTACAGATACCCTGATAAGAGATCAAACCTTGCTCTGCAATGAGGTGGCAAACAGTACATTATCATCAACGAGATTGCGTCAGAGGCTGGTGATAGCTCGACGCTATTTCACAGCTCTCTCCAGGCACAAACCCCAGGAGGAGAAGAAATCCCTGCCAATAGTGGAGACAGCCACATCCCCAAAGCCTCCGATTAAGCTGCCAAAAATCACAGTGAAGCCCAGTGAACGAGCCGCTATGGGTCTAGCTAGGGTGGGCACCAGAGCAGCCTTGAATTTCTCTTTTGCGTACCTCCGGAGAGCCTGGCGCTCAGGAGAGGACGTTGAATTTTGCAGCGAGATCCTCTCCGAGTCCCTGGAGACCCTCCAGTCGCTTCCAGAGGCCACCCTATTCGAGGAGAACAATGTGTCTCAAGTTTGGCTGGAAGTTGTGGAGAAATCCGCGAAATTTTTACGTCAAGTCGTCACTGGTGACGTCGCCCAGCTGGTGACACCTACGACGACGTCCACCTGGTGCCCAGTGCCAGTATCCGACCAGCACACTGCCCTCTGTCTACTCCTGGAGCTCGTCGCCCAACGGGCAACTCTCTCTAGCCTCCTGGACTCTGTCATTCTTCTTCTTCACCTCAGTGAGAAAACCATCAACCAAGACAACCGTGTGATTCCCCCTACCTCAGGCAGCTGCGCCCCTCTGGTCCCTCTCCTGAGGAGACTGAACTCTGTGCCTGTCACCAAGTCACGAGGACCTCCTGGCAACGAGAGCAAACTCAATCCAGGACCCTGCGAGGTCCTCCTCAAATATCTTCTCCTCCCTGACGATGACACTGTACCCGTCGACCTCAGAAAGGCAGCTGTTGTCATCATGTGTAATTTATCTCGCCTCGCGATCCCTCACCTGCCCATCACCTCCACCAATCCCACCAATGCATTTTTCAAAAATCAAACAACCCAGACAACAGTTCAAGAGGTGATCGCCTGGGGTGGGGTAAAACTCGGTAATGGAACATCTCCCTTCTACTGCAATGCCATCGCAGAACTCGGAGTTAGGCAGCTCTGCTGCACAGAACGTGCTCTCATGATTCTCACACAAAGCGGCAAAGTCTACTCGATGCATTATGGATCTGAGACACAGTATCCGCAGAAAGTCGAGTTTGGGGGGATGAAGAAAAACCCTGTAATAAGCTCCATTGCATCCCATCCTGATGGCAAGCATTATCTTGCTCTCACTGAAGAAGGACTCACTTACTCCTGGGGTAGTGGCGATGGCGGTAGACTGGGACACGGCAATACCATAGACTATGAAAATCCCAAAGTGGTAGAGGCACTGGCAGACAAGTCTATTACATTTATCGCCTGTGGGAGCAACTACTCAGCTGCTGTGACTGCCACGGGGGAACTGTACACCTGGGGCAGGGGGAATTACGGAAGGCTGGGGAATGGCAACTGTGATGATGTGATGGTACCCACTCTGGTGACAGCCCTCAATGGCCATGTAGTGGTTTACGTGGCGTGTGGTAGTGGTGACTCGCAGACTCTCTGCGTCACAGCGTCGGGGATCGTCTTCTCCTGGGGGGACGGTGATTATGGGAAGTTGGGGAGGGGTGGTTCCGATGGGTCAAAGATTCCAAAGATCGTGGACAAACTGCTCGATGTTAACGTCACTAAAGTCTACTGTGGAGGACAGTTCTCCGCAGCTTTAACTGCTCAGGGAGAAATCTACACCTGGGGAAAAGGAAGTGCTTATCGGCTGGGCCATGGCAACGAGGACCACGTGCGATACCCAAAAATGATTGAGTCTAGGAAACTTAAAGGAAAGAGAGTTAAGGAATTGTCAGTGGGCAATGTCCTAGTGCTGGCCCTGACCGAGGACCAAGAGGTCTATGGCTGGGGGAGGAACGACTACGGACAGATAGATCCAGGTCTGGGTTTCACAGTGTCCGAGCCGTTCCTGTGCACAGCCCTCACCTCGAAAAATGTTATTGGAATCGTGTGTGGCCTAACCCAGAGTTTTGCCTGGTCGCTCTCGACGTGTTCAGTAGCTATCCGAGTACCCTTTGTCGTTGACATCTGTGAGAAGACCTTCAAACTGCTGGACATGCTACTGACCAAGTCCTGTGAGGGTTTACCTGGGACAAGGCCACCTACTCAGGATAGGGAGTGCCTGGCAGTGTCCACCCTCAATCTCCTACGACTCCAGTTGCACGCAATGATTTCCCACAGGATTGAACCCAAGACTGTGGGGCTGGCAGGGGGCACCAGCCTTCTTAATTCATTAAAACACAGGTGTGTGACTCTCGCCAGTGAGGCAGGTATCCTGGCAACGATCCAGGACGCTGCCCAAGCCCTCCTCCAGACTGGCTGGAGCATCCTCCTTCCTACAGCCAACGAACGCGCCAAAACCCTCTCCAGTTTCCTTCCAAATTCCAATCACAATTTCAAACCCCTCAGTGCTAATCACATCAACAATTCCAGTAACAAACATCACCACAACAATCATAATCACGCAATCAGCAACAATAATACACCTGACAGTAACAAGGGACAGCAATTCATGGCAGATCTACTGGTGTCGAGTCTGATGGCTGATGGCGGGCTTGAGTACGCCCTGAAGGCGGCCATCAGAGCTGAGATAATCGATATATCCGATGAGAAAGAGTCCATAGCATCCTCCAATTCCACGACTGAATTTAAAAACGAAATTAAACAGGCCAAGGAATTCAACTCAGAGAAACAGCACAACATGACAATTTCCTTAGTGCAGCTGGTGAAGCAACTAATTAAGAATGGAACCTGCATCACCCAGGCGAAATTCGAGGCCCTGGAGTTGAGCAAGGGAGGTAGAAAGCTCGAGGATAGCCAAAAACTTGACAATTCCCCCAGCACGAACCTTCTCCTCCGTTGGCAGAGGCTCCTGATAGCCCAGATCTACCACTGCATTAAAGCGAGTACCAACGAGGATGCACAGGAGCCCGAGATTATCGGTTCTCAGTCCCTTCTCCAAAAATACATCCTCCAGATATGCAATCACGTGAATGATGTTTTGCCCACAGCCTGTGAAATCGCTGGGACGAGCAGCAAAAATTTTGTTCTAGTCGCCATGATATTGAAGAGTGATATCGTAGCTATTTTACTCCCAGAGCTAGTGATTTGTCTGATTCTCCTGCAGGTGGACAATCCTATGTTACTTCATGGAATGAACTGGATGGAGATACTGGCTCCAGTGCTGGATATTCTTGATCAATTCAATAGGCTTGCGCCAACATCCGAGAAAGACGACGCAGATGATCTCTCCTGGCCTGGAATCATCGCTCCCCAACAGGGAAATAACTCGAGGCAAGCTCTATCCATTCCGGAGGAACCCACCCTCATCAGGTCAGCCGACCTGGAGAATCACAATCGAGACGGTGGCCTTTGGATTGTCGTGAATAATAACGTCTACGACGTCCAGGACTTTTGTCAAGAGGGACGTGACAGCTCGTCCTCGTCCTCTCTCTCCTCGTCTCTGGTGCAGAACACAAGAGAGGAGACAACACGTTTCGATGGCAGCAAGGACATTTCCAACACGAAGAACGCCATTTCCCAGTTAAATTCTGGTGTGATGGAGTCGTGCTTCGTGGGATACTACTGTCAGTCAGAGCCTGATAGCACACAGTTCACTATTGAGATCATGGACGTGTGCTCGTCTTTTTTGGACGTCGAAAGGGCTTTAAGTTTTCTCCTGGGGCTTCATGCTCACAGAATGAGGCAGAGTCTTCCTCTGTTGCCTGCTGAGGAGGAGGCTGGTGTCTGGCTGTCGGCCAACTTTCTCAGGGGAGGCCTCCAGGTACTGCAGCCGACCAATCCCTTCGAGGAGGAGAAAGACGAGGCCAAAAGTAATCACTCCACGGCTGCCAATTCACCCACTGAACCTGGGGCTCCAACTCCTGGAACCGCCGTTGGTATTTCTACCAGTGTCTCCACTACCATCACCACTAGCTCCGCTGGAAACACAACGGCAACACCTGGGAGGGATAAATTCCAGAATAAAACAAAACAAAGTGAATCCAGAGTTGTTTCCTTCGTGCATGCCCTGGCTGAGGGCCACAAGACAGATAATTACGTTCAGACCTTTTTGAAGATGGTGGAGAAGTACAGTAAGGCCAATAATTTATTGTCTCATGTGGATTTTTACGGGGATCACCCTGTGGAGGAGGTGGGGAGGCTCCTCATGGCAGTTATCATCAAACATCTGGCCTTGGGTCATCAGACGATTGCCCTCGTCGATCAAGAATTAACGGAGAGTGATAATGCGAAACTCTCGAAGCCCCTTATCGATATGGTGAAACTTATTCATCAAACCAAGTGGAATCTTATCAGGACGAGACAGCAACAGAACAAAAGCTACAAAGAGGTATGTGCTCCAGTCCAGGAGAAGTGCAGATTTTTGCTTTATGAAGTCAGACCCGCCACCAGCTACGAAGTGATGGGGTATCAGAGACTCAAACTACTCTATACTGTTCCCAAGTTCAAAAGGGTTGTCCTCAGTGTTATTGCGGATAACAGGAAAAAAAGGACAAATGCCCATGAGATGGTGAAGAAGAAAAAAAAGGAGAATAAGGAGAGTGGGAAGCTCGATGACATTGTCAACACGTCTATTCAGATATCGAGCCTCCCCGAGGAAAAAGAAAAATTTTTTGGAGATAAGCAGACTATGAGAAACATCGTGCTCCAACAACTGGACAAATTGAACACTAGATCATTAATTATTGACTGCAATGAATTGATGAACGAGGTGGTGGGATTTGCTGTATCTGAGGATGGAGGAGGGAATATTGTAGAGACGTTGAGGAGAGCTATGTACTGCCAAATTCAAAGGGTGAAGATGAGGGAGAAAGGGATCAAGATGATTCTCGAATTGTTGAAGAAGGACCACCTCGTCACATCAGTCAGATATTCCCTATTAAATGGCTGGTTGGGCTTGATCCCAGAGAGCAAACGTCCTAGTCAGACACGAGTGGTCACTCATTGTCTCAGCAATATCCAGCTGGTGACTCCTTATCAGAGGGCCAAGATTATAATTTCTGAGGCTGAGATAACGTGCTGGACAATTGAGGCCCTCCGGGCTTACGTCATCCAGGCAGAGCTTCCCAATAAGGACAAGGTGAGTGGAAAGAGTAGCCTCAACCAGGGGACTTACACCTGGCTGAGAAAATTGCCTCGTGCAAGATTTCTTTTGACAATCATCGGGATGCTGACGAGTCATCACCACGCCAATGAAATCGGTCTCCTGGTGAACTCTGGCTTGATTTCCAGTGTCTTAACTCTTCTTCGACAGATCGGTCCGACCCCCATGGGGATGATGACGGAGTCTGCGAGACTGAAGAAACAGCAAAAGAGTTCTTACGTTTCGGCAATTTACGAGGATGTTCTCCACAAGAATAAACCACCTGCTGTTCAGCTGAGTGGTGCTGAGCTTGCTGCCCTCATGAAAATTGGAACGAGAGTGGTGAGGGGAGTCGATTGGAAGTGGGGTGAGCAGGATGGGACGCCTCCTGGGGAGGGAAAGGTGATTGGAGAGCTGGGAGATGATGGATGGATCAGGGTCCAATGGGACAATGGCACTACCAACTCCTACAGGATGGGAAAGGAGGGGAAATACGATTTGAAATTGGCTGAGCCCCCAGCCCCTCCTGAGAGTGACTCTGACAGCGACTCTGGCTTACCACCAGCAGATTCTAAAAAACCTGAGGATCTCTCCCTCGGGAGCAGGGAATTTCATCCCACCACCTACCTCAAGAGTGCCTCCAAAAATTTATTGAGAATTATTCTCCTCTCCTGTGGAGTCAATGCCAATGGTGTCGACAAATCTGCCATTAAAATTCTCGTTTCGATTATCAGAGGGATAATTTCAACTGCTAATCGACCTGGTACTCACGGAAATTCTACTGTATCTGATCTCGCCAGGGAGCATCACGAGTCTTGGGCGACCCTGGGACTTCTCAAGACTATTGCCAATTCTCAGGTATCTTTCTGTCGGGCCCTGAGCACTCCAGCCTGGATTGATTTTTTTCTCAGCATCATCTCCGAGGAATCAGAGGCCAATCTGGGGAAACAGATTATGGCAATCAAGCTCCTCTTCGCTGTTCTCAAATCCTGGCCTGAGAACGATGGAGAGATGACACACCTGTTGGAGAAGTTGTTTAAAATTCTCGGGCAAATTGGCTTGCACTGCACTGCCAACTGCACCGTCACCACTGGAGACCAGATGGAATTCCATAACACCAAGTGCCGTGTCTCTATTACAGCCTCTCACAGCTCCACGCTCGCTGAGGAGTTAATTCTCCTTATTCGAGGGCTCCACCTACTGCCAGGATGGCAACTCCCCCTCAACTGCTATCTCGCCTCCAAATTATCACTGGCATCAGATTTATTGAGTGATGGACCACTCTTTCACATCAGAATGAATGAGAACGGTGGAGAGCATAGTATGACCATTCAACAGACTGTGATGGCAGCTCTGATTGTCGTCGGAGGCTTGGACAATCGTCCCAGGATGGGAGGAACCGTCGAGGTAGACAACGACGTCGGGATAGTCTACAGATTCACACCTCACTCGAAGCTAGTTCTCCAGATGCATGACGAGAATGGAAAAACAGGAATTCTGAGGAAAGTTCCTTTTTCTGGGGTTAAAAATGTCTCCGAGAAGTTTCACCTAGACAGAATGCCGATGACAGAGTCTCTACTATCGATTTGGGCGAATATTCTTCTTCTGGGGAACACCAATAATAATTTAAATGGTAGAAGACCAGGCTCGGGAATGCCTGTGATTGCAGGTGTCGTCAATGCATCGATTCTTCGCACCCAGCAGCAGCAACTAGCAGCTCTAAACGCAGGGAGGAGCCTCCTGGAGCACCAGGGTAAGCTACGACAAGTTCTCAAATTTTCTCTCTCTGTAATGACAGCCGATAAACTCGATGATGATGACGAGGATGGCAGGGGGGATGGCGAGATGAGGGTTCTCTTCCAGGAGTTGTTGGTCAGAGCCATCAAACCTCAGCCGCTCAAGCCTATTTTTAAGAGAGAGGAACTCGACGCTGCGGCTCTAGCGGTCTCTCAGTACTTGGCTGTCGAGCTGAGGTATCGAGCTGGGGTACACAATCCTGGGGCTCTCTCCGAACCCACTACACCAACTTCTGACTGCTCTCTAGCTTCTCTGTCGTCCAGTCAGAAGAGACACTGCAGAAGTGGCAAAAAAATAATCACCAGTCGACAGGCTGCCAATCCTCTCGTCACACAACTGACGGAGATGGGCTTTCCCAAGAAAAGCGTCGAGTCCGCCATTAGAAATATCAGTCTCATAGAGGGAATCAACATTACTCCTGAGAACGTTGTCGTCTGGCTAGTGGAGAGGGCAGAAATAAGAGCTTTTACAGATTCTGAACATTTACCAGAGTCGAGCTCTGATGCAGGATCAGATGACTCCGAGGAGTCCTCTAGTGAGGATTGCAATGAGCACTCATCACTCTCCATCCCAGGAGTCACTACCCCTGTGGTAATTCCCACCTCTACTTACGATGACGTTCTCAAAGCTGCTGCTAATGCACCTCAGAGCTTCATGAAACGCTCTGATTTCCTCTCATTTGACGAGTATGCAATGTACGTCCGGGATAATGTGACTGTGGGGATGCTGGTGAGGTGCTGCAAGAGTTACGAGGAGGTGGAGTACGGGGATATTGGCCAGGTCGCCAAGATTGATCCTGAGGGGCTACACGATCTTAATGTCCAGGTCGCCTGGCAGCATACGGACGGCACTTACTGGGTCAGGTTCATTCACATTGAACTCTTGGGTCATCCTCCCACCCTGCCAACTCCACCCGCTGCCCTCAAGGTTGGCGACAAGGTCAGAGTGAAGACCTCGGTAACGGTTCCCAAGTACAAGTGGGGCTCTGTGAATCATTCGAGTGTTGGAGTCCTCACTGCCATTATTAATAATGGAAAGGATGTGTCTGTGGATTTTCCCCAGCAGAGTAACTGGACTGGGTGTATGATGGAGATGGAGAGGGTGCCATCGTGTCACCATGCAGTCACTTGCAACTCCTGCCACTTGTCACCGATCTCTGGTGCTCGTCTCAAGTGCAAAGCCTGCGAGAATTACAATCTCTGTGAGAATTGTTTCTACACGAAGAGATGTCATCGTCATGGTTTTAATAGAATTGCAGAACCAGGATCCGCTGCTGTATACGCAGGAAAACCTGGCAGATACCACTACCGCCGAGACATCACCGAGTCCTCCCTGATAGAGGATTGGTCAAAGTGCATCAGGACCCTAATTGTCTCCTCTCGTGATAACTGGGCGACGAGACTCGTTGATGGATCTGGAAAATTCTGGCAAAGTTGTGGACAAAGAGGAAAGCACTGGATTCGTCTAGACATGATGCCCAATATTCTCATTGAGTCCCTGAAGATCACTGTCACACCTGAGGATGGTAGTTACATGCCATCGGTGATCGCAGTGAACGCAGGGGACTCTTTCAACTCCCTTCTGGAACTCGCCACAATCACTGTGAGAAATACAGACGAATGCGTCACACTTCTTCAAAATATGAGGGAATACTACAGCTGCATCGAGATTGCAATAAAGCAGTGCAGAAATGGTGGTATAGACTGTAAAGTTCACAGCCTCCAGATTGTCGGTAAGAAGAAGCTCTTTGAGAATCAACTGGCAACATCTGTGTCCTTTTTGGCGTCTGACTGGGAAGCGGTCCAGGAGCAAATCTCAGGAGCTCCTCACAGGGGTAGAATCGTGGTGGATGGCTATTCCCCTCGACTACATGAGCAACTGCAGCAGCACTCTGCTGTCTACGTGTGGGGCCTCAACGACAAGGACCAGTTGGGTGGCCTCAAGGGATCGAAAATCAAGCTGCCAGAATACAGTGATGTTCTCTCCAAGCTAAAACCCGTCCAGATTGCTGGGGGTAGCAAGACCCTTTTTATCGTCACTCAGGAGGGAAAACTCTACGCATGTGGAGAGGGAACCAATGGACGACTGGGACTGGGGGACAACAATAACGTTTACGAACCCAAATTAATTCCTTTTCTCAGTCAGTACATTATCAAGAAGGTCGCTGTGCACTCGGGGGGTACCCACGCAATTGCCCTCACTCAGGATAGCAAGGTCTTCTCCTGGGGGGAGGGAGAGGATGGAAAACTGGGGCATGGCAACAGGTTGTCCCTGGATAAGCCAAGATTGATAGAGGCATTTAAATCGAAGAGAATCAGGGACATTGCCTGTGGCTCTGGCCACTCTGCGGCTATCTCCAGCAATGGGGAGCTCTACACCTGGGGACTGGGGGAGTACGGGCGATTGGGACATGGGGACACTGCCACACAACTCAAACCCAAACTGGTTGAAGCACTTGTCGGACAGAGGGTCATTCAGATAGCATGTGGAAGCAAGGATGCCCAAACTCTAGCACTCACGGAGGACGGGTCTGTCTATTCCTGGGGGGATGGTGACTTTGGTAAACTTGGAAGGGGCGGCAGTGGTGGCTGTTACACTCCCCTTCTTGTTGATCGTCTGAATAACCTCGGGGTCGTGCAAATCGAGTGCGGAGCCCAGTTTTCTCTAGCCCTCACCAAATACGGCGAAGTCTGGACCTGGGGTAAGGGTGATTACTATCGCCTGGGACACGGTAATGATCAGCACATCAGAAGGCCAACAGTTATAGAGGGCTTGAGAGGGAAGAAGGTGACTCATGTGGCTGTAGGGGCTCTTCACTGTCTCGCTGTCACTGACACAGGCCAAGTGTACGCCTGGGGGGACAACGATCATGGCCAGCAGGGCAATGGCACAACCATTGTAAACAGGAAGCCCTCACTGGTCCATGGCCTGGAGGATACGAAAATCAACAGGGTGGCTTGTGGCTCCAGTCACAGTGTCGCCTGGATCCTTCCTGATCAGCCGGCAACGAATAATCAGGAGCCTGTGAAGTTCTCCACTGGAAAAGATCCATTGGGACAGGTGTCCTTGGGCTTCGGAGACAGCCACGGCGATTCCATCTCCTCGGGGACCATCATCTCCACAAAAAATGTGAGACCATCTCTCTCTAATATTATTCTCTCTCTTGAGAGCAATGTGGCCAAACAGCAGGCCCTGCAACACGTCATAAACGCCCTCGATATCATCCAGGCGAGGACTGCTATTGTTATCGCACTCAAAAGCCACAACGCCCTCACCACCAATGACTCTACAGCCGCAACCCTCTTGAGGGGTGTTAATACAATTTCTCAGCCTGATACTCCCACTGGCGATCTATCAATTGCAGGAACACCCATGGTAATGAGTGGAAATCTCACTGGAGTTTATCAGAATGTCGGTGAGATTGCCCAGGGTGGAGGCGAGGCACCTGCAGAAGTGGGGAGCCTCCACCATCATCATAATCACAACCCAACCTCTGGGAAGAACAGCCCCAGGACTGTTTCCTCGATAACGGCATTGGAGGAACAAATTCCCTCGGCAATCAGTACAATTAGCAATTATTTCCCCTCGATGTCCAGCTCAGCCAGTCTCTCCTCGAGGGCTTCCAGGATGTCGACCAGTGCAGCAGCGATGAGTGTGATCGCAGCGACTTTAACTTCACATGCTCAGGTCGTCGGGGATGATCACGATAATGGGGAGAGTGGCTTGGATGAATTCACGTCGACACTGACGGAGGACGATGCCAGGATGCTCGTGGATTTACTCAAGCTCGCTGTCGCCAATAGAGTCTGTGAGGGCGCCAGGGAGACCATCTCCTCAATTCTCATCGCCCTGGCAAAATCCTCCTCGAGGCATTCCCACAGCATTAAGAATATGTTACTTGAGTTGTGTGTTACCGAGTTGGAGGATACTGCAGCCAACTCAAACTGCATGAATAATGCACCAAAGCCAGTGGTCCAGGAGACACCACACCCCTACATCGACGATACGACCCTCACTGGACATGTCAAGATCCCCGGGGCTGAGGCACTCCGAGTGGAGTTCGATCGTCAGTGCTCGACAGAACGTCGACACGATCCTCTCACAATAATGGATGGGGCTGGGAGAGTGGTGGCAATAAAATCCGGGCGTGAGCCGAGCGAGTGGTCTGCGGAGATCAGGATACAGGGTGACGAGCTCTTCTGGAGGTTCACGTCTGATGGCTCGGTGAATGGCTGGGGCTGGAGGTTTACGGTTCATCCTATCCTGGCTGTTCTCTCCCCTCACGAATTGGGATCTGATCGAGCTGTGCTGGCGCAGCCCTCAATCGCCCTGGTGGAGTGCCTCCTGGACAATTCTCTGATTATTGCCACAGCGAATAACTCCTCGGAAAAGAGTATCGTGTCGAGGCTGGCGGCATGCCTTGCGCAGTGCAGTCAGTTGAGTATTTTAACTGCTCAACAGAGAATGTGGGGCCTGAAGAAATTGCAGGTGGTTTATATGAGCTGTGGGCCAGGAATCAGGGGGGACACTGCCCTTTCGACGCTCCTGGGGTCTCTGCCCCAGGCCCTCCTTAAACAGTACGAGTACGAGGACCCTGCGGTCAGGGGTGGCAAACAGCTGATGCACAGTGACTTCTTCAAGGTCTTAGTGGGACTTGCGTGCGAACTGGAGCTCGATACCATGCCCTGCTGTTCGGAAATTCACAAGTGGTCGTGGTTCAAGAGATATTGCCTCGCTGCGAGGGTCGCCAAGTCCCTTATCAATAGGACAGCCCTTCCCAAGAGCTTCTGCGTGGATGTCACCAAGAGGATCAACGAGATGATGAATGCAGAGGGAGAGCCCCATCTCAGCCACCGAGAGATACCTCCCCACGAGAGCCACGAGTTATTCAGGCGGGAGCACGACGAACAGCTGCTTTTATGGCTAAATCGAAGACCCGAGGACTGGACCCTCTCTTGGGATGGCTCTGGTGCCATTTATGGGTGGGGACACAATCACAGGGGCCAGCTTGGTGGACTTGAGGGGGCTAAGGTGAAGCTTCCATCCCCCTGCGAGAGCCTCTCAGCCCTGAGACCTGTCCAGCTCGCTGGAGGAGAGCAAACCCTCTTCGCAGTGACTGCAGATGGCAAGATCTACGCTACTGGTTATGGGGCAGTGGGGAGACTGGGCATCGGTGGGACTGACTCTGTAATGGTGCCAACCCTCCTCGAGTCCATTCAGCACGTGTTCATAAAAAAACTAGCTGTCAACTCAGGGGGAAAACACTGTTTGGCTCTTTCGTCAGAGGGACACGTGTACTCCTGGGGTGAGGGGGATGATGGGAAGCTGGGTCATGGCAATCGAATGTCATACGATCGACCGAAGTTGATTGAGGCCCTTCTCGGGACTGAGGTTGTGGATATCGCGTGTGGGGGTCACCACAGCGCTGCCATCAGCTCCGCTGGATTGCTCTACACCTGGGGAAAGGGGAGGTACGGTCGTCTCGGCCACGGTGACAGCGATGACCAGACCAAACCCAAAGTTGTGGCTGCACTTCAGGAATACAAGGCTGTGGATGTGGCATGTGGTAGTGGAGACGCCCAGACTCTCTGTGTCACGGATGACGACAATGTGTGGAGTTGGGGGGACGGGGACTACGGCAAACTGGGGCGTGGGGGAAGTGATGGCTGTAAAACACCCATGAAGATCGAGTCGTTGGCTGGATTGGGAGTAGTCAAGGTCGAATGTGGCAGTCAGTTCTCGGTAGCTCTGACCAGATCTGGAGCTGTGTACACCTGGGGTAAAGGAGACTACCACCGTCTGGGTCACGGTACGGATGACCACGTGAGGAGACCCCGAAAGGTCGCCGCCCTCCAGGGCAAGAAGATCATCTCCATTGCCACTGGCTCTCTCCACTGTGTTGCATGCTCTGACAAGGGAGAAGTCTTCACCTGGGGCGATAACGATGAGGGACAGCTGGGGGACGGTACCACTAGTGCGCTACAGAGGCCCAGACTCGTTCATGCACTCCAGGGCAAGAAAATCACCAGAGTCGCCTGTGGCAGCGCTCACACACTCGCTTGGAGCACCACCAAAGCCACGCAGAGCAAATTACCAGCCTCCACACCCATGGAGTACGATCTCGTCAAGGATCTTCCCTTCTCTGCTCTTCATAATCGATTGGTGTTGCTCCACCATTTTGCCGAGTTACTCTGCCCCTCCCTCGTTATGTTTCCCATTGCTGGACACGTGGGGCTCAATAAACTCGCACCAATGCTGGTGTATAGCATCAAGGAGGCGACTTTCAGAAAAGTCGTTCAAGCCACCATGGTGAGGGACAGACAGCATGGCCCTGTCATTGAACTCAATAGAATTCAGGTGAAGAGGGCGAGAAGCAGGGGAACTGGGCTCGCTGGTCCGGATGGAATAAAATCGGTGTTTGGACAGATGGTGGGAAAAATGGGACTGTTGACACAGGATGTTTTGTTTCTGCCCCACAGAGTGTGGAAAGTCAAGTTCGTTGGGGAGAGTGTTGATGATTGCGGGGGTGGCTACAGCGAGAGCATCGCCGAGATGTGTGATGAGCTACAGAATGGATCTCTTCCACTGTTCATTCCAACTCCAAATGGACGTGACGACAGTGGAACTAATAGAGACTGCTTTTTATTCAATCCTGCAGCCAAATCGGCGCTCCACGTTAACATGTTCCAGTTTTTGGGAATATTGATGGGAATTGCCATCAGGACTGGGAGTCCCTTGAGCTTGAATCTTGCGGAACCAGTGTGGAAGCAGCTCGCAGGAATATCGTTGGCTCCCGGGGATCTTACGGAAATCGACAGGGATTATGTGCCAGGACTGCTCTGCATCAGGGACATGGACCCTGATGAGAAGGTCTTTCAAACCCTGGAGATGCCATTCTCAACACCCTCCGCTGCTGGTCACGATGTGTCCTTATCAAATAGATACAGGAAAATCACTACTGAGAATAGGCATGAGTATGTGAGACTTGCTCTGAACTACAGGCTTAGGGAGTTCGATGGACAGGTGAGGGCTGTGAGGGAGGGAATGGCCAGGGTCATTCCTGTGCCGCTTCTCGCGTTATTCAGTGGAGCTGAGCTTGAAACTATGGTCTGTGGGAGCCCTGATATTCCTCTTGGATTACTCAAGTCTGTAGCTACTTACAAAGGGATTGAGGCCACCTCTGCACTTGTACAGTGGTTCTGGGAGGTAATGGAGGAGTTTTCAAATCAAGAGAGGTCCCTCTTCTTGAGATTCGTGTGGGGGAGAACCAGACTCCCCAGGACTATCGCCGACTTCAGGGGACGAGACTTTGTTCTTCAGGTAATTATTCAAACCAAATAAAAATTTTTAACAAGTTCGGGCAACATAAAAAAATTTTATTTTCTATCTATTAAAGAAGAATCAGTGATATGAAGTCAGAGGATCACGAAGAGTGTGATGATTTATGTCGATATCACATGAAAAATTGTTGAGTATTAAAAATATTTGACATTTACCCCTGCGATGACTCCTCCCGAGATAACAACAACACAATGCTCACTGAAATATTTATTGTCAATTGATTCTTCTCAAACTTCATATAAAATAACGTGTAATGATTATTTTGAAAAATTTTTCAGGTGATGGACAAGTACAATCCCCCAGATCACTTCCTCCCAGAGAGTTACACCTGCTTTTTCCTGCTGAAGATGCCCCGCTACTCGTGCAAATCGGTGCTCCGTCAAAAACTGAAATACGCCATCCACTTCTGCAAGAGCATCGACACCGACGAGTACGCCAGAGTCCAACCAGCTACAAATTCAGACACAGACGACACAGACAGTCTCGCCAGTGAGGAGCACACCTCCCTCTAGTTTTAGATCTCTAGGAGTTGACCAAAGTCGACTAAATCGAGTAAATTTACATTTACCACTGCAATTGCGGCTTTCCATAGTGAGCACTGCTTCAACTTCTCGGCCAACCGCAAGTCCAAATTCATTATTATATCGAGGATCAAACAGAATGGGAAGGTGAGGCCAATTGGACACTTGAGATATTTTTTTATTATTCATAATTAAGAAATTCATAAGAGAGGCTGAAGTGCATATTCTAAGAAAAAACATAATTCAGTAGTGAAGTCTTATTATTCTTTTATCTCGACGAAGAGCATAAAGTGTCCGTTTTTGCCCCTCACCATCTGTTCGAGTGTGATATTCCTTTGAAATGATGAGTAATTATTTATCAGACCCAAGAATAATACCTAATTTACGCTTATCCATGTTTATTTGTTATCTCTTAACACATTGGGAGGATGAAATGATCACGAGTACTCGTGACATGCACACTGTAATATTTTGTTTATACGAGAATCTTTCTTACGACTGAAATCCCTATATTTAAGTTTGAATATTGAATAGTGGCCTGTAAAATCCTTCGTTGTATCGTGATAACTGTGACAACTAGTGATAATCAATCTTATCGAATACAAGAGAAACGAAATGTTTCGTAATATTTGTGCAGGACCATTGATTATTTATTAAATGAGTTACTCACACCACCTTTAAGCCATATTTTTTTTACAACAATCCGATTTATCTGTTGCAATTCAACAGGCGTTGGCGATGTTGCATTTTGAAATATTTATGAGTGTAGAGCCAATGGTAAATCCGGAGTGAGTCTCAAGGACGTCTTCTTTCCTCTGCTCGGTTCTTTGACTTGACTTTTTTTTTCACCTCCACTGGTACTTTAAACTTGGAAATTCCGATGTTTAATTGATGATTTCGATTGATGCAGGCGTTTGGCTAATTTTTTTTTTTTGCGAGGGAAAGTGACTGGCAAGTGGAAATTCAACGCAGGGAAATTGCGAATGATAAGGAGAGTGGGATCGAATGTGCAATGAGTGCTTACGCACACATGAGGCCACAGTTTAAATTCATTGTTGGTCATGTTGTGAGTAACTGGGTATAGATCGTCGAGACAGTATTTTAAAAAATGATTTAAAAAATGCACTTTTGGAGATAAAAATTCTGGTCTATGGGTGGGCATTTTTTATACACATTCTACGAGTGGGTGTTTCATGCACCGGTTTTTTATTCTCGTAAGGTCACGGTTGGGAGACAGGAGTGGTGAAGTTGAAGTTCACTTAGTGGTTCTGTGAGGACGAGTGCATGCAAAGAGGGAGGGAGAGTGGTGGGTTAATTGAGTGGGCATTCCATTGATGAGTTGCAGTTAGCTCATGTGTGCTCATTTCTCTCAATTTTTCGATTCTCTCATGTTGAAGGTAAAATTATTTGTCAGACGAAAATCTTCCAGATAAATCATGAGAATCATCTACGAAGATTTGCCACACGTGGTGAGCAAAACCAATGAATAACATCATTCGATTATTAAATGACGTTAATGACACTTGACTTATTTTCACGAGCAACGAAATACTTTCGCCAACAACCCGACAACCAAAAACATGTTTATCAATGAGCGATAATGCTGATGATAAAATGAAACGATATAAAAATAAATAAAATCGTGCATTGGGAGTGTTTATCGTGGATTGCAAAAGCAAGATTGAAGTTGAGGCAACGAAGCCCCACCACTGACTCTGATTGCTCCCCGATTGTAAATTTATTCAGTCCTCCACTCGGATCGACATGCTGGCGAACCCGAGGGAGATGAGAAAAAAGAGCAATTGATAATAGATTATTTTTTGAAGAGAGACAATCGGTAATGACTCGGTTGAGAGGAGTACGTGGATCCCTCAAGTGTGAGCAGTACTGTAGTGGCATCAGGGACATCGTCAATAGAGGAGGAGACATGTTTAGAGCGGTCAAAACCAAGGTACCTATCCCAATTCCCATTATCCATTCATTATCTCATAATGCTTTGGTTATCCTAGTTGACCCCGTGGAATCGTTTGACGACCCGGAGGAGCATTCATGCCGGCGAACAGACCCCCAACAAGGCCCCCACACTTCCTGAATTTGCCGATGTTGTCATTATCGGTAAAATTTATCTTCCTCCATTTCCCATTGAAATAATATTTAAAAATTAAATACGATTATGAATAATTTGGTGGAGTGCAGGTGGAGGCAGTGCAGGGTGCAATGCTCTCTACCATTTGGCAAAACGGGGCTCCAATGCTATTTTACTTGAGAGATCGAAATTAACCTCGGGGACGACGTGGCACACCGCTGGCATGTACTGGAGGCTCAGGCCCAGTGACGTAGATATTCAGCTGCTGAGCTCCACCAGGGAGACCCTCGTCAATATAGAGGAGGAAACCGGATTGAATCCTGGTTACATACAGAATGGAGGAATATTCATAGCCCATAATGGGGTAATAATTATTATTATTTATTATTATTGATCATTTTAATTGGCACGTGTTTATTTTTTTATCGGATTTTATGTGATAACTCTACTATTCAGACTCGAATGGATGAATACAAAAGGCTCGTAACAGCTGGTAAGTACCTCGGAGTGGAGGCCCACATATTATCCTCCAACGAAACCAAAGAATTGTTCCCCCTGTTGGATGATAAAGTTATCGTTGGATCGATCTACTGCCCCCAGGACGGATCGATGGATCCCGCTATGCTCACTGCGGCCTTGACCAAGGCTGCCAAGAACCATGGCGCCAGGGTACGTGTACCCGTGACTTTTTTCCAATATTGAATTTCTCACAAGTGATTTTGTACGATTATAGATTATTGAGGATTGCCCTGTAAGTAGAATAATCACAGAAGAGAAGGAGTACGGCTGGAGGAAAGTAACTGGAGTGGTGACTCCATTCGGATTAATTCGCACAAAGTGCGTGTTGAATGCGGCAGGTGCCTGGTCAAAAAATGTCGCTAAAATGGCAGGGGTGGATATACCCCTGATCGCTATGAAGCACGCTTACGTCGTGACGGAAAGGATCGAGGGGGTCCAGGGCCTCCCCAACATCCGGGACCACGATGGAAGTATTTATGTGAAGGTCCAGGGCTCTGCCCTGGCTGTCGGTGGCTACGAGCCCAACCCCATAATCCTCAAGTCCCTAGCCAAGGACTTCTCCTTCAGTCTTTATGAACTCGACTGGACAGTCTTCAATACCCACATCAACTCGATGATAGAGTTGATTCCCTCCCTCAAAACCACTGGAATTCAATCAAATGTCTGCGGCCCGGAGAGTTTCACTCCAGATCACAAGCCCATTATGGGAGAGGACCCGAAGTGCGCTGGGTTATTTTATTCGTGCGGATACAACAGCGCCGGGATGATGTATGGGGGTGGTTGTGGCGAGCAAATTGCCTCCTGGATCATCGATGGCAGACCTGAGAGGCACATGTACAGCTACGACATCCGTAGGTTCACCCCAGAGCAGAGAAGGGACCAGGTCTGGGCGAATGAGAGATCACACGAGTCTTATGCCAAGAATTATAATATGGTATTTCCACACGACGCACCACTCAGTGGACGCCAGTTCAAGAAGGATTTATTTCATGATGTGAGTTTTATTATACTTATAATATTATATTTAAGATATTGGAATATGTATTTTCTCGTGGGGATCATCAGGTGCTAGTAAAAAATGGAGCTGTGATGGAGGAAGCCCTGGGATGGGAGCGTCCCGCCTACTATCAACCAGGAAAAATCATCAATATGGAGCCCTACGACTATATGGGAAGTTACGGTTCCTCCAAGAACAGAAGAAATGATTACGCCGAAATTCTCAAAAGAGAGTACACCTTCGGCTTCCCTGAGCATCACAACTTGATCGGCTCGGAGGCTCTTGCCTGTCGGAATAAAGCAGCTCTTTTCGATCTCTCCTATTTTGGAAAATTCTATCTCTGTGGGGCACAGGCTCAGGAAACTGCCGACTTCCTCTTCACCGCTAATGTCAATCGAGAAACCAACAGAACTATTTACACTTGCTCTTTGAATAAGTATGGGGGAGTCGAGGCTGACTGCACCGTCACCTCCATCGAGGCGGGTTCTGGAGGAGTTGCCGATCCCATTTTCCAAAGGAAGGCCTTTTATATAGGTGCTTTTTTCAAGAGTTTTTACTCAAAAAAAATCCAATCAAATAGCGAGACATATATATATATTTTTTTTTTATAGTCGCTGGTGGAAGTTCATCGTATCACACTTACTCCCATATAAACCGAATAATCAAGAAACGAGGATTTGAGGCAACAATTCACAATGCCACGGAGACGATGGGAATTCTCTCCCTGCAAGGGCCCAACAGTCGTTACATTCTAGAGGAAATATCGAATAAAGACCTATCAGACAAACTCTTCCCTTTCTCAACTTGTCAAATTCTCGATATCAAGGGCCACCTAGTGCGTGCCTTTCGGTTGAGCTTCGTTGGAGAGCTGGGGTACGAGTTGCACATCCCTAGTCAATCGTGCGAGAGAGTATTCAGAGCTCTCGTAGAGGCGGGAAAAATTTACGGTATGAAATTAGCTGGATTCAGGGCTATGTACAGCCTAAGCTGCGAAAAGGGCTATCACCTATGGAATTGCGACCTGAGGATGGACGATAATCCAGTCGAGGCGGGGCTTGGTTTCCTCTGCAGGCGACATGGCGAGTACAATGGCAAAAAAACTGTGGAGAAGCTGAAGAACAGTGGAGTCATGAAGAAAATGGTGCATTTGCATATCAGGAGGTAATTGAACCGATGAGAACACAACTTCAAAATTACCCTGATCTAATTACCCTTTTCTTGGAAAAAATAATTATATGCAAGCTCTTAATGTATTTTTTTTTCAGTCCTGTGAGGGTGTTGGGTTTAGAGGCGGTATACAGAGACGATGAGATCGTCGGATATCTCAGGCGAGGGGATTTCTCTTATGTTTACAATAATAGTATTGGCCATGCGTGAGTACCCTAATAATTCTGGATTTTCAGGCGATAATTAAAAAATTGAATAGTAAAATTTAATTAACGGGGCATTTGTTGCAGATACATTTCCAACCCAACTGGTGATAAAGTAACGAAACAATTCTTGGAATCTGGAAAATACTCAGTGGAAGTGCTGGGTACCCGATACCCAGCAGAGGTCTTCCTCCACAGTCCCTTCGATCCGGAAAATAAAAGACTGCTTGGCAACTACAGCTGATTCCTTAGATATAACTCCGTGTGACATAGATACTGTATATTTTTTTTTTTACCTTTGTATTCCAAAATATAAATATACAAATGCTCTAAACTATCCAGCCAAGGGATTGGCATGGATTGTTACACTGTTTATGCGAGTGTCGGTCAAGGGCTTGTAGTTTTTCGGGTTCACTGGGAGTTTCTCCAGTTGTTCCAGGGTGTCTAGGCCATCGATAACTCTGAAAGAAAATATATCGGTTTTTAAAAATTATTCGAGATCGGGGAGATTTTTACAGGTGTTTTTTCAAAAATTTCTTATTACTTTCCGAATAACGTGTACTTGAGGTCCAGGTGCGGCTGCGCCGCGTAAGTTATGAAGAATTGACTACCATTTGTATTGGGCCCATTATTTGCCATGGAGACTAGGCCCCGGGCATTATGCCTCAACTCTTCCTTGAATTCATCCTCAAATTTTCGATTCCAAATGGAAGTTCCACCTTTCCCTGTCTGTGTTGGATCCCCCGTTTGTACTATGAAGCCTTTGATGTTCCTATGGAATGTACAATCGTCATAATAATCGCTCGCACAAAGTGCCAGGAAATTCTGCAAAGAATCATAATTGTATTTGAGGTTAAAAACCTTATTATTAATTCCACCTCTCGAACACTAAAATTCCCACGAAAAAAATAACTCAATTCGTCCTTAATTTCATTAATCCTTTCATTAATCCAATAAATTGAATTTTCATAGACTCACCTCACAAGCTTTCGGACACAATTCACAAAATAATTCGATTTTAAGATCGCCGACGTCAGTATGAAGAGTGACACTCTGTCAACAATAAAAAATCTTCCATCAATAAATTTCCCGGAGGAATCCCCCGTAAACTCTCCCCTAATTACCATTATCCCTCCAGGAGTTTCCGTTAGCTTAAAAAGCTCTCTAACATAAATTCAAATGTCTCCCCCCAAAAAACCGGAAAATTCATCTCACTGTAGCAAACCCGCCATTTTAAATCTCATCATGCATTACTGCACCAGTCAATTATCCCCACATGATCCTCTCATTTTTCTCATTCTAAAGGCTAAAATTTAGACTTGAAAAAATCATAAAAACACTTGAGAAACCAGCAAAAGAAATTCCTCCAAAATTTGGAAAAATAGCCATATTTGCAGAAAAGGGTGATTTGATTAATTGCGTCCCTCCCGAGCGCACTCTACCCCTTGGTTTCCGGCAGTTGACGGAAACACTCCACTCTCCACGTTTGGCACATTGCGGTTAGGCAAAACTCTTAAAATTCTTGTAATCAATCTCCCTAAAAAAAGCTAGGCGTCCCGCAGTGAAAAAATAATCAACAATTCCCTGAAAAATTCACACTTGGTAAAAAAAATTTCGGTCAACCTGTGGGCAAATAAATTAGTGGAAAAAAACGGTGTAAAAAGATCGGTAAAAGTGACAGAAGAGATAAAGGAATTGGCAGAGGACGAGTGGAGTGGAGTATATTGCACAGTGAGTCTCTGGTGGACGCATGACGTAATTGTATTGATCGGCGTTAGGGGAAGCCTAGGTGGAAAATAGGGTTTGGGTGGGGGAAAATACAGAAGGTGGCTCAACGAAAGTCGCGCATTCGCCAAGCCATTCGCCATCTTGGACGAGAAATTTTAGTGGTGTGATTATTGTAAAGGAAAAACGAGGATATCTTCATTGGAACGAGGGAGGAGAGTTTATTTAGTGCCCGAGGGTTCTTCGTTTTGTGCTATTGTAATTCGTGCCACCGAGCGTTGATAGGAATTTTTTTTAGTTGGATTCAAATCCGTTTGTCAAATAGTAACCCATTTGGACGGACCAAGGTGAGTATTTTGTTGTTAATGGGCTTTGTCCAAGGGTTTTCACATTTTCACATTTTTCCTGGGACTTTTGCAATTTTTACACGATGAAGGGTAAGGGGGGTTAGGAGGACAGGGTGAAAATGTGGTGATTGGGTGGGAGAGGATCAAGCGGGATTATTAAACTATACACTTGCTTTACCGTTAGCCCGGCCGGAGATATTTGGGAAAAGGACCTTAGCCGCGCAATTGGCCGATTTATCGTTTTTCTACTGGTTATTTTTTTATATTTTTTTATTTTTTTTTTCGTCCAGGGTCTAATGGTGGTTTTGGAGGTGAGAATCTGGTGAGCTATGATTTTTTATGGATTGGAAATATCTCGTGGTTGTAGGGCTTGGGATTTTTGGAAATGTTTAATGGCAATTGTTGTTTGTCTCGGGGGAATGTCGCCAATGAAAACAAAAAGATGGTAGTGCTCCCGTCTCTATCGGGCCGTTTCTGGTCTGCTCGTGGCAATCGTAGCACAACCTAACAAAGCTTTTCCTTGGCCGTACGGAACAGCCAATTCTCCGTGTTTCTGTCTCTCTCCCTCTCTGTCTTCATTCCGATGTTATACTCTTGTCAGGGGCCTACGTTTCATTGGCGCAATCATTCGGAACGTGCAAAAAATATTACAACGAAATTAATGGAAATTCTGGGAATGGATTTACCGGGGTATCTAATCGCGGGAATGCCAGCAAGGGAGATTTTCTCGGTGCTGATTAATTCGGAGGAAAGTTGCAGATTGAATTGTAACAGCTTAGATTTAATGGACAATCGGATGTTGCCCACTTTATTGCCAGATTTTTTTCCCAGAGAGATTGAAACAAATTGTTTGGGAATTAGAGAAAAAATTTCAGAGGGCATTGGGCAATATTACAGTTGGAGCAGAAAATTTCAGATGATTTCAGGCGTGACTCTTTTTTTGTTGTCTTGATTTTTTTTTCATTAATTCAAGCCCCAAAGGGTTTCCTTCAATTTGCCTCTTGTATTTAGAGAAATTCGAATGATTTATTATTGTGCAAGAGGTTAGTCGTAAGAGGAGAGAGAGAGAGAGAGAGTGAGAGAGTGACGAAAAATATTGCAACGAAATATCAACATCATCCACGAGAACTACTTGGTAAATGTCTATTTATGATTATTAATTTTTTTTTTTACAGACAAAGGGTTCGTTCGTTGGGTCTGAGTCGTACTAAATGGTTGCCTGCAGACAGCATGTCTACTCTGTCGGGGATTGTGTCGAAGGGGGAGAAAGGAAAATCAAAGTTTCAATCTCTAGATATCAATAGCTTGTACCGGGTCAGCAGGGTGAGTAGAAAACAATTCCTATTTACATTTTCCTCACATTGAGTAAAGTGATTTGAATCGAGGTAAATGTCAGTTGTCACTGGAAATTGAATTTTCTGGTGAACCAGTGGCAAATGATTGACGAATCGTTTTACTGGGGGATATCTGCAGATAATTGAAATTCTTAGGCTGGTATTGTGGGCGTTGAAAACTCCATGTGCGTTGATGAATGATTTATTGGGTGGCTGTAATGGTTACAATGGTTGGGGAAATATTTCAGGGAGAATCTTTGGAGCAGCACCAGCAGAAAAGCACATTACCACGGAAACATGGAATGCAGAGTTTGGGAAAGGTGCCTTCGGCACGGCGTCCACCCGCTAACTTGCCTAGTTTAAAAAGTGAATACAGCAGCAGTGATCCAGCTGTCAGTCTAGTACCTAGTGGTGGAAGCGGTTGGGCAACTACTAAGGACTCTTCATCGATTACTACTACCTCCACCAACTCTACTTCAGCCCAATCATCCGATAATTCAACCAACAACTCTTCACCAGCACAATGTGTGGCTGCAACAACTTCCGCATCGACACCATCACAAGAGCCACTGCCAGGCCAACAGCAGAGTGCATCTCAGTCTCCACATCCATCAGAAATAGGAGGAAAATCCTCATGGAGTGCAATTATGACGAGACCAGGAGAGTTCGGTACGTTAATAATTCATATTAAAATTTTTCAATTCTTTTCTCATTATGTCCTTGGTTTTCTCATCGTTACGAAACAAGAAAAAAATTATTATTCTGTGATTGGGAGGAATAAAGATCCATTGCCTCGGGTAGTTGGAGGATTTCATTGATCTCTCACCTGAAGAATTGAGTCATCATCATTCCTTTATTCCCCTAAACAGCAGATTTATTTGATTGTGGATGTGGGTCGGTTAATCAATCATCACTCAAATTAAATTTAAAAAAAGGGAAAAATCATTTGAATCATGGGTGGTGGATATTTTCGAATGGCCCCAAAAGAAAAATAAAATGGATCAGGTACACCCGGCGTTTCAACTGCGGTTGGTTATGCGGGTCTCGTAGGGGGCGGGAGAACGGGAAGAGGTACCCTAGGACTGAGTTTCCTCGCCCACCAGTCCCCGCAGTTCCAACACGAGTTTCCCAGTCTCAGTGGACAGCCCTCGGTCTCCACTCAGAGCCAGACACAGCAATCCTCGACAGCATCAAATGCAATATCTGTAAATGCCCAGCATCAGTTGCTACAGCAACAGTCGTATTCCCACAATCACGCAGGTGGGATTCCTCCGCAAATCTAGATGCTAGCTATTTTTTTTCCCCTTTTCCATTAAAAAAAAATTTTTTTTTTATTATTTTGTAGCCCCTGTTTTTGCCTGATTTAAGATTTCACTCACTGAATTTACTAGCTATCTCGTGATTATTTTTTGGATGCTCGAGTGATTGGAAATTGCTGTTTCAAATCTTGAGGATGTTTATCGGAAATTGCTCCATTTTTTTTATTTTTTTTTTGTCATCGGTATACAACGATGAAAAAAATTCTATAGTGCCACTCTTCTATTTTAATGCGTCGAGTCCTTCAGTAAGTGAATTATAAATTCCCGAATAGAGCCTGTAGGAGCTCGTGGTTTATTTTATTTTATCCCTATTAATGCAATTACTTCAACAACAAAGCGGCAAAGCGAGTATGTAAAAAATCATGAAGTGAATTGCCTAAATGTAGATAAACATCCTCAGAGTGGAAAAATTTATTTAATTTTGCGCTGATAGTCCCGTTTTTTCGTAGATACAAGTGGGTTATACATGTGCTTGATCCAATTATCATTTTTACCTGACCATTAATTCCCCCACAGTCCAGGGTATTCCACACAATAATTGTTTAATTTTTATCCACTTGTAGATATTGCACAGTCTAATTTATCCTGATTATTCATGATTTTTCGTTGATCCAACAAGTTATGTGATGATTTTGGCCATAATAAAAATTCAAAGCCAGGTACATTATAAAATCATAAAATTATTATGCGAATAGGAGGTGCGTCCGCTGGTCAACAGCAGCAACAGTCTCAACAAAATCGGGAGCTGAATGCACAGTACGGTCCTGGTCCGAGCCTACGTCCACAAAGTAATTTCAATTGTTTCGAATTTAATTAGTAATTTATTAACCAATTTAACGAGTAGAGTGAAAATTGAAATTCCTGTTTTTTTTTTTTGTTTCTAACTATACTAATATAGAGTCTACAAACGCTTTTCTGCTGGAAAATTTTATTGACTCCCTCTAGTAATAACGTAAGAAAAAAAATCGTGTTCTAGCGGAGGGAAGCTGGATCCAAGGTGGAAGTCGTACACCAGGTGCTGGCGGATCCCCTGGTACTGGGAATGGAAGTACACAAGTGGGCCAGGTCCCCCAGATTGGGAGCATAACGGGGATAACAGGGATGCCAGGACAATCCTCCCATGCCGACGTGTCAGTTGGCGTTCGTGCCAACTTGGGCCAATCGCCGGTAACGGTTTCGGTCCAGGGAGGCCAGACTCCCTCAACGACCTCTCAAAATTCATCAGCCCAACCTGGCCAAAATCTCCACCACTACCGTGGCTTAATTCCCCAATTCATGTGCAGAGGAAATTTTCCACCAGGTGGATTTCCCTCTCAATTTCCATCTAACGTTAGCTCCGGTGGACCACGTCCACGCTTCAATAATTCCAATGATCGTCCAGGCCCTCCACGTCCTATTGATCGTGATCGTCCCCACTCGCAGCATGACGATGAGGTACTCAGTCGTCCAATTATCAAGGAGGAGGATCTTACGAGAATGGATGACATATCTCATGAGCCAGGATGGGCAGCTCACGATGACATTGACTATAATCAGAAATTGGCATTCAGTGATGACGAGCCTGAAAGTGAAACCCCCGTTAAAAAAGAGGAGAGAAAGGACTCCAGGAAGGAGGACATCAAGGAGGAGAAACCAGTTACTGACACTGGTGGCTCCATTCACGACGACAAGGACATCCTGGCCCGACCCAGAGACAATCGTGACTCCAAGGAGAATCGAGAAATGTCTCATCGTCCCTGGCAGCAGCAGTCCCAGAGTCGCAACGACTATCGCACCGGCTCCAATGGCACCACTATTGCCCCACGGGACTACAATTCAACACCTCAATCTCAGCCACGTACCTCTCATCCCCTCCGTGGTGTTGAGGAGGAGGAGATATGGAATCAGCGACGCAAAGAACAGGGTGAGAAGGTTGCCTCAGCGGTAGAGCGTGCACGCCAACGTAAGGAAGAGGAGGAGAAACGTTTCCAGGAGCAAACCAAACAGGGAGCGGCCAAGAAACTCCAGGATCTCGAGAACAAATTGAAACAGAACAAAGCCAAAATTGAGGATGAATCACCAGCTCCTGAGCCCAAGGGACTCATTACAGTACCTCCTGTGCCGATTCCTGTTCCTGAGTGGGAGAGGGAGCGTGAGAATCGAGAGCGCGAGAATCGCGAACGCTCGAGAACTTCGTCAGAGGGAAAAGACGAGAAGCCCCTGAATCGTGATAGAGATGAATTCAGGGGTAATTTTATGAGACAGGAGGGAATATCTCGGGCTGATCGAGAGAGAGAGCGTGACAGGGATCAGCGAGAGCAGAGAGACAACAGGGATCGTGATCAACCAGCCTTTTCACGACACTTTCAGAGCAATTTACCACCTCGTTTCCAGAAACAGCAGGCAGAACGTGGCTCTGGTTACAACAGAGTATCACCACCCAGTGCTGACAGGACTCTATCATCACCGAATGTCACCAGCGTTCCCTTCTCCCAGCAGTATGATCCAGGCAGATGGTCATCAGGTAGTATAAAGCAATCTCACTCGATGGCCCAGCGGAGAAATCGTGTCGATTCTGATCATGGATTATCCAGCCCTCTCGATGAGGAGCCTAGGCCACCGTCACGTGATTATGGATCACATGGACCTCATGGACGACCTCGTGAGGGTGATCGATTCAGACACATGCATCATCTCTTTGATTCGAGAAAATCCGGCTACCACGATGATTATCGTGCCTACAAAAATGATCACGAGGATAGACATGCCAGAGAATTTTGGGATAGGGACAGGGAGAGGACGTACGAGGAGAAAAGGGATATACGTCCCAGGGAGTCCAGAGAGCCTAGAGAGCCCAGAGAGCCCAGAGAGCCAAGGGACTCGAGAGACTCGAGAGACTCGAGAGACTCGAGAGACTCAAGAGATTCGAGAGATTCGAGAGATTCGAGAGACTCTAGAGATTTTCGAGAGAGGGAGGAAGTAAGAGACGTCAGGGACAAGGATATTCGTGGTCGCGATAAGGATTACGATAAACCCAGGGAGTTTGAATCGAAGGAATACGAGTGGGTTAAGTCACCAGCGACTGATGATGATCGTGATCGATCTGAGTCTACTGACTGGTCGGCAGAGGCTCGCAGAAGTGATGAGAGAGACCGGAGGGAGGAGAGGATCGAGAGGAGTGAGCGTCCACAGCGGCCAGACTCGAGGGACTCTCGAGCTTCACGAGAATCAAGAACTTCTCTAAGGGATGATGACTCTCACAAGACCCGGGACTCAACGTCCTGGGCCCATGAGATGTCGGATTATGAGGAGAAGAGGCAGTGGGAGAGGGAGGATTACAGAGAGCGCGAGAGGGATAGGCGTGCACCACCAGGGCCGATTACTCGGGAGAAGCTGCAGGCTGAGGAGCTCAAGGCGGAGAAACGAGGGCTCACGCAAATGAAGAGGCTCGAACACGAGAAAAAGGAGAGCCCCAAGGAAGAGATGAAGAAGGATAAGGAGCCTGATATGTGGAATAGAAAGCTTGAGAGAACTCCAGAAGCCGCTAGGGGTGAACGCAGTGAGGGGCCGAATTGTGCCTGGGCCGATGCTGTCTCACCGACCTTTGAGAAGGACGAGGAAAAGGTTGAGACTGTCGGCAAGGAGGATAAGGAGCCTGAGATGGAGATCAAGGAGGCAATGGATAAGATGAGTATCGATAAACAGGATGAGCCTCATAAAGAGGAATTGAAAGATGATAAACGAGACAAGAATGTTCGAAATAGAACGAACAGCAGTGGCTCCAGTACCAGAGGACGAGAGACAAGGGGAGGTCGCACTTGGGGCGGATACAACATGTACTCGTGCTGGAGAGGGCCAGAATTTCGAGGAAGACGTGGTACTGGCTCCAGGTCAATGGGACGACCTGGATCAGCCAAGAGTGGCTCCTATGGGGGACACACAGACTCTGACATTAGTGGTGATGAGGTCTCAGGCTCCGTTGAATTAGGCAAGGATGACAGGATGAGGTCTGGGGTAACGAGTAAAGCAGTAGATGCGCAGAAATCCGAGAAGGACGAGCGCAACAGAGAGGTTACGAGGAGGGAGGATAAACGAGGGGATTATGCCAGTCAAGGGCGTGGTGATAAGAGCTCTAATTATGAAGCACGTCCTAGGGAGGGTTTTGCACCCTCGGGGGAACCCTCACGACGTGGTAGGGGTGGTGCTAGGGTGAGAGGCTCGACACTGGGGGCCAGAATGGAGGGCTATGGTCCACCGCCCAGCAAAAGTCCTTTTTCTTCCGATAGAAACACTGAGGACAAACAGCCGCCACAAACACCTCAAAACCCTTCCACCGGGGATGACAACAGCAATCACAACTCATCTGAATCTGCTGATGATAAAATTATCGCTAAACAGCAGGCACTCACTGCCGGAATTACTGGTATGCCTGGCAGGCGAAATAAATCGCCAAATTTGCTGAATAATCAGAATGCTGGCAAGGGCCAGAAAAAAGAAGACAAAAGGACGAGAAGTGGTAGCCGAAGGCGAAGAGAGAACAGGGAGAGAATTCATCAGAGTTCGAGCGCTGTTAAGCAAAATTCATCGGATGTTGGCAATGAGGAGTGGGAAACTACTTCGGAAAATAGCGAGGAGCACGGTGATGATCATAAAGACAGGGCCCATAAGAGTTTTTCTGGGAGGCAGGGACCCTCAGGGCCACCGAGAAGAAATGATCAGGTGAATAATAGAGACAAGTCAATGAATAAACCCTCCAGCAGTGGCTCGAGAGCTCCCAGGCAGATGGATAAACGTCTACAGGGTATCAGTAATTTTCCCAATCAGAGAAATCACTTTCCCATGAGCATGCCACCTCAGGGGGCCTCGATGCAGCCACCAAATAATCAAAATGGTAGACCCAGAAGCCAGGGATCAGCCAATAGTCAGCACTCGTCCTCATCAAAGAGTACCAGTGGCAAGGAAACCACTGTTAACAGAGTCGATGAGATTAAGCTGAATGATGCCAATCTAGTGGACCAGGCGTTGAAAGACATGGGTTGGAAAGCTGGAGGTAAGGAGAAAAAAGCGGACATTGATGGTGAGTTAGATTTGTCAGCCTTCGCGCTAGATGATGGAAACAACAGCATTGAGGAGTTGAAGCTCGACACTGATGGATTTCAGGAAGTCAGATCCAAGAAAAATCTGAAGGATCCATCGAGGCATGGACCAAAGGATGAGGCTAAACCGCCCAGGAGGGATAAGGAAAAGGATAGAGAGCGCGATCGTTCAAAGTCCAAATCCAATGGACAGCCAACAACTCAGCAAGTCCAAAATATTCCACCTCTCCTTGGCCAGCCCATTCCTCAACCTGCCAACATGCCACCCAAGGCTTTTGACAGGAATTCCAATCGCCAGAAACTGGCACCCAGACTGCAAAAGCAGAAACTCGCTAGACAGCAAGCACAGCAGCAGAGACAGGTCGAGGGTGGCAATGGAGAGACGAAAATCAACTCGATTGGTCACTCAAAGGACTCGACTGGACAGACACCAGCTCCACCGTCTGTCAATGCCTGGGATAAACCATTCACCAGTCAAATGCGGGCTAATTCCCCCAATTCCAACGTTCCAGCTGATATTCAATTAATGTCAGGCCTCACTGGATCCAATGAGCACTCGCACGAGGGTAATGACCACGTAAACAGCAGTGGAAGCAGCCAGAGAAATTCACCCAGTGCTGATAAGGCACAGAAGGGAATGAAGGAGGTGAGCTCTGATAAAAATGTCTCCGACACTTCCTCGCCACCTGTTCAAACTTTGATTTTTGAGAATACTAATTATTCCAAGGGGGGCAAAAGCGCTTCGGAAATGGCGATAAAGTCTAAATTTTCCAATCACATGAAGCACGGTGGAGCTAGGGATAAGAGAGAGATGGAGGATGAGGGACATCTTCAGCAGCAACAGCAGCAGCAAGCACTGGCTGTTGCATTTGCCAATAAATTGAATGAACCGCTAAAGGAAAAAAGCCCTCAAGAACCCATTCAGATGCCTTTGTCCTTCAACAAGACTGAGGATAATGCCGATATGAAGCTGGACTTCACTTTTGATGCTGATTTGTCTCAACTCACTGAGGATAAATCCAAGGGTTCATTAATGCCCAGATCGATCCACATCACTGGGGGGCACAGCACAATATCACCCTCCACCGCTGAACTCAATCTCAAAATTGCATCGGTGAAAAAAGTTTGGGAAAATGCACCGATGCCCACAGTCGTTGAGCACGAGGATGGAAGTGTTGTATCCAATGCCAACAGCTTTCCCCAGAGCTTTGAGACAGCTGATGTTGATGATTCTTACAGTACCCATCAGCAGTACAACCAGACGAGCATGAAGAATGAAATTACAACGTCCACCAATGTTTGCAAGGTGAGAAAAATATGTATATATATATATGTGTATATATATATATATATATATATATCTTTTTTTTCTCTCTGTTGAGATGTCGAATCACCAAAATGGTGTATCCACTGTGAAGAAAAATTGCTGATTCTTTGTCTGATGCGCAGCTGGTTCCCCCGCAGGTGAAACCGCAGCAACAATCATCTGGGGGAGGTGCTGCACAGGCGAGTTCTGCAGGACCAGGACCCAGTCCCATTGGACCCGGCCAGAGTCCTATTGGTCATCCACCTGCTAGTATTCAGGCACCGCTGAGTCCACCACCTTTTAATTCCACTGGACAACCTTCACATATGAACTATCAGGTGAGGCCTCAATGAAAACTCCAAAATAGTGAAAATAAAAAATAGAATTAGGAAATATTTGAGCTTTTTGTTTTTTCCAGGAATTTCCACAGTATCCGGGTTCCCAGGCAGCCCAATACGGCAGTATGTCAGCTATTCCATCACCTCCAGCTGTTCTCTTCAACACAGGATCAGGCCAATTGCCAGCCCAAGCTGGCGGCCTCTACGGTGCATTCCAGTTAGACCAGAGTCGTTCTCCATTCACTCAGTATCCACCCTATGCCCCATCACTCCAGAGCTCCTTCAATCAGCAGAATGTGTACTTACAGCAAGCACCACCACCACCCCATGCGCAAAATCCACCAGCTCCTGACATGTATCAGAGCAATCTCTCCCAGTATCGCATACCAGCAGCTGCTGCACCACCATTTGGACAGAATCAGCAGCTGAGCAACAATCCCAATACTGTTTTGATAAGTTCCTCGTCTAATTCACTAATGTCTGCTAGTGTTAAACCGTCCTCACAGCCTATCGGTGCTATTGGCACCAAGGCACCACATTTTCAGGCACAATCAGCACCACAACCTAATCAGGTGAGTGATTTATTTATTTTATTAACTTGGTCGATTGGGGTATCTTAAATTTTTTTGCTCAATGAGAATTTTTTTTTTATTTTCCAGCTGACTTACATACCATACGATCCAAGTCAAGTACTCGGTGTTAGTGGAAATTACATGGGAAATTCCCAGCTGGTTCAACGTCAAGGACCCAGTGTCCAACCATCGGCAAACAGCTATTATAGCGCCACGTCCGCCGGTAAAACTAATATCTCTCTGTGTAAGCTTGTCCGATCTACTTTCCTAACTTATAACATTTTCTAGTTAGAGATCACCCCTAATTTTAGTGATTAACAGAGCCGTCTCAATGCCACCATTGTTCGCACACTAAAAAATTTTGTAATTAAAAATATCCACTAAATGTTTCATATATTTGTTTTGTGTCGCTTTGAATATTAACTAATGGAAAAAAGAATATAAAGTTCTTTTGCAACACGAATTATTCGTGAGAAAAAAGAAGATATTTTTTTTCCATTGCCAAGGAATAGTGTAACGATGATGGGGGATATTTGGTGTGTTTCAGATGTGTTCCCAGGATCACAGACTGGTTTTTATCAACCTGGGGGAGCTGGTCAGCAGACTGGGACACCATACGGCCTCCAAGGATTTGGACAGCACAGTCAGAGCTTGGCAACACCTGGCAATGCAACGCCCGTTGGTCTTCAAAACTTTAGCTCACAATTTCTCTCTGGATCAGGACTTCAAATAGCTGCTGCTGCTGCTGCCCAGCAGTTTCGTAATCCCACTGGAGGTTTGCCAGGGCCAGCTAATGCAGCAGCTACTTTTCTCAGCAAGCATCAGCAACAGGAGCAACCCAGACAACTGAAGAGCCCCTCGGGAAATCAACAGGATGTTCTCGCTTCTGTCTTCAGTTCGAGTGAGTAATTTTTTTTTTTTTTTTTGCATTAAATTAAATCCGTCCACCCACTCAGCCCCCCCCCCCCATTTTAAACTCACAAATATTCAGAATAATAATTAGCCTGTGGTTGTGATTGATTATAGCGCCCCAAATACCATCACCAAAATCGAGAAATTGTAAACAACAATCTCAATCTCAACAGCCGCAACCCAGTCCAACACAGCACCATAAATATCCACCTTACCAAGGGGTCAGTCAGTCTGCTATGGTAAGCAGCTATAGTAACTATGTATGTATCATTCATTCATTACTCTAGATTTATTTTAATCAGGAATATTAATACTTCATTCCTCATTGTAGTTTGAATTTTCTCTAATTAACTGTGGTACAATGAGATAAATTAATGAGAACATGTTGGAGTATTTAAACTGATTGAAATTAATTTTTGTATTTACCATATTGATAAATGCGAAAATTATAACGATTGAGGAGAAAGCACATAGGATTAAAAAGTAGTTGATGCAACAGAATGTTCGTGGAATGGGAATGCCCCCCAGGGGTGGAATTCAACCGTCTCAGCAGCGCTATCCACCCCCCATTCAGAGGCCTGTGGTGCCATTCCCACCAGGACCGAACCCCAATAATCCGAATCAGCAGCAACAGAATTGCATGCCAAATCAGCAGAATCAGATGAATCGTCACAGACCAAATATTCATCAGCAACAGCAGAGAAATATGAAGATGCAACAGCAATATTATACTGGACAAGGTGAGACCAATTTTTTTTCTTAAATAAGAAAACATTCAATTTCAGAAGTAAATGTTATTTTTTTTTACTAATAGAATTTTTTTAATTCCAGCAAATGTGAAAATTGATCAATCCGATAAAAATGACTCTCACAACGATAAAATATCAGATCCTACTAGTGGAAATCAGTCTGGAGGTGGTAAATCCAGCGTAACCCAGCAGGAAATCGACACTAAAGAAGAGGTGAACCAGCAAGCTGATTAAAGATTTGAAGATAACGAAAAAAATCACACCCAGAAGTTGTCCACTGGTAACACAACATACCCGTACAATGACCAATTTCTAGTTAAAAATAATTTGTGTTGCACGTTGCTTTGTACGTCTGAAAGCGTTCTCTTATTCTAGATAAAGTAGTTTCATGCAGAAACGTTGGAGGCGTGCAACATTCTGCAACTTTGAGTTAAAATATTCGCCCTCGTAGGTGTAGAATTCACGTAAAAATGAATGAAATAATTAAAGGATTGAGTTTAAAGCCAACTGATACGATATATCGACGTTCTCCAGCTCAAGCGAAGACATAAAAATCGATGAATAATATTAACAACATCGTGACACGATTGTAAGGCATTCGAGTGAACTAAAAAAAATGCTGAAATCGTTCACTCGTCCTTTGAGATAGGGAATTCGATGAAATTAAAAGCAGAAAAAAAAACACTGGACTGACATTTTGATACACGAAAATAATTTGTGTGCTCATTCAGAGCGAACAACCACTGAAAACAATGGTAAATTAATTAATTCACAATCGCTGTCAAATATAAACTGTACACCGCTTTAACGCAGCACTGAGGAGACTCAAATCAATTTTTTTCCATTAAATAAAAAAATAGTCTCCTCGTGTACTAGTAAATCCTCAATTTGAATTTAATGAAAACTGATTGTTTATCGAGGACTAATGAAATTACGATAAAACTCAAAGTAAGGAGGACGATTGTATATTTCCCTGCTTTCAATTGCAGTTGAAGCATCAATTATAAACTTGGATGAAACAAATACAATTGCTATTCGAAGGGATAGATAAAAATAATGATTACTGATAATAATCTTAATAATAATACTATGAAATAATAAATGCTAGTATTTACAGAAAGATACCGTCGTGTTGTTAGTTTCATTGAGCGGAAGTTTAACAAAAAAAAAAAAGTAAAAAATAAATAAATGGATGGGGCGACACGAGTGTAGGAGAACGGGGGGGATGAGGGTTTCAAAGGTAGATTACCACTCAGGGCCAAGGAGAAGAATATTTGAGGTTTATTAAAGAGATAACAACCATAAATTTTCACTTCATGCAACTGCCAGTCGTGTTCGCCGACAATTGAACATTTTTCACGTCATCAACACGTATTGCCCAGGGCGACAGGGGGGAGGGGGGGATGTGAGTTTAATTTTTAAATTTTAGCCTGAGTGTGACATTGCATGTGGGGATAACAGGAGATGGGGAAACTCAAAATTTATTGTAATACACGATGTGATCAGTCTGCTCGCCTAAGAATTATTTACGTTACTGTCTCAATACATTAATGCTGGAATGCTAAAATTTGGTGAATAAATCTTGATTGAGTATGTGAATTTTGAGTTCTTGGGTGGTGAGGAGTGAGGGGTAGAAGGGGTTTGAGGGAATGAGTGCCTTGGATGCCCTGACGCACAAAATCCGATTATTCAAGTGGCCAGTCGGTTTTTTTTTCTTTTTCTTCGTGGAACCCCAATTTTTTTCTCCCCAAATTGACGAATTTTAATTTCACAGTTCTCTGTACACTGTAACAGGGACAAAGAAAATTCTTTGTGCAATCCTACTTGGGGTTTAGCCTGTTGGCCGCATTGGAGAGGTTTTAGTTACGGTTTCTTTTTATTTTTTAAAGACTGAATTTCACATGACTTCTACCACTGGAGGAATTCCGCCCGAATTATTCGATTGTAAGTTTGAAATAATTGCTGCAAATAATTATTCCATTTTCTTGATTGATTGGAGATTTGAAGTTTTGTTTTTTGGTAGGGTAATTCCTTGCTCTCTCACCCCGAGAAAAAACTGAGCCTCAATTTTACTCTTTAGTGGCATGACGACAGTAACTTATACTATATCTGATAACTAAATTGTAATAAATAATTCAAGGGTTTTTTTTTTGTTTCTTCTCCCCTCGAATCGATAAATTTTAAGAAACGACACATCCCTCTCATAAATTCCTCACCTAGAACGAGAATCTTGTTAATAATGAATTATTGAGATGGAGAAAAAATGGAGAATCGGTACATTTTGATTCTGTGTGCGTGGTATTTCATTTGTGTACTGTTTCAGTTTCTTGAGGGTTTTAATAAAGTGAGGATGAAGCCAATTGCATTGCGAATTACGATGATTATTTCGGGGACAGAGAATCGAGGAAAATTATGGAAAGGACTTGAAATTTATTGAATTTTTTCATTCAATTGAGGCAAATGATTTTCTACAACGAAGGGCTTTTAACTTTTTTAAATTCCTAATTTTCCTCGAGAGATTGTGTCCATACCTTCTTAAGACTGTCAATCTCTTTGGCTGTTTTAAATAAAGAAAATAATGAAAAGTAATAATAAATTTTGAGAAGTAGTTAATGTATGTATAATGTACAGAAAATAAAATTTGGCACTTGTTAATTAGTGTCCGACTTATCAAACTGTAATTCCTTACTTTTAGCTTTGTAACATAGCAAAAATGTTACACTAATAATATTAAAAAGAAAATAATGATAATCGAATTCGCAATGCCACTTTATGTGAATCAATGAAAATGTGTTCCTGCGAGTGAGATATTGAATTTATTATTTTTCCTCATTGATCATGACAGTTAAAAGCAAGTTAATGTAAAGGAAATTCAGGATTGAAAGTCACACTGGAACACCCGCAAAATGAAACGCCAATTACGGGTCTTTCTTATGTTTGTATTAACAATCACTCCGATGATTTCTGTATGGACGAAAAAAAAATAAAATAAAATAAAATAAAAACAAGGATATAAATATGCAATGTAGAAATCAACTATTCATATGGCGTATTGCATATATTTGAAAAGTACATGTTTGTGAAGTTGAGAGGAAGATTGAAGACGAAAATAACAATTTGACGATGAACTCGGACATAATGCGGAGGTAATAAAATTCATTGCTATACAGTCTATCAATTACTATCATTTCACATCCAATTATCTTGTTAGATGATTATTATATTATAAATAGAGATTTGGGGTACCGTAAGAGGGAGGTAAGTAATTATTAATATAATTATAAAATAATGATATTTAATATAATAGATAATATGCCATGAGTTGGTGGTGCAGTTTATTGCCTTGCCTGCATGGGCCGAAATTGCCCTCTCCCTTCCACCCTCCTGGCAAATATGGCCAAATGGTGGCGCCCCCGCAGTGATGTTTACAGATTTGCAGTGAGTTCCGTAACGTCACGTCAAAAAACTGCAACAAAAATTTCTTAGCAATTTCCACGATTTTACTATGTAAAAGGTGCGTTGATTTGGTCTCCCAAAAATTGGTGGCGCGGTGCGGTGAGTTGGTGAGATCGGTGGAGTCCCTAAAATCCACCCTAGTGTCCACCGGCTAATAATCCATCAAAAATATTCCAAGTTCCGAATAGTTTTATACTGGCAGTGCTAATCGTTAGGTGGGTCGCCATTTTGTCCGAAGGAGGCCCGGTTGGATGAACGGGGCGAAAAATTAGGTGCACCCTCGCCCAAAGATCGTTGACGACGCATGGCCAACATCCACCCGCCGGTCTTTCATTATTATCATTATTTTTTTCACCATAACAAAATCAGTATTTAAACTCTAATTAGCCATTACTATAACCAACCAACGAGTAATGGTGTCGAGCTCCGATAGCCGCCGAGTGATGAACGAAAAGTGTGTTTTCTCTCTATTGTCTCGTCACTACGTAGTTGAAAATTTTTTATCCCCTGGTTTTACCCGACAACTCGTACCCCCTCGTAACCCCTCGCGTAACCCCTCGTACCCCCTCGACACAACTCCACCATTCCATCATCATTATCCATCACCAACTCAACCAACACCAACAACTATTTATCCTCTTCACCAAGGGTTCGGGCTCTTTACTCTTTGTTTATTCATCGGGATTTACTGAGAATATTCCACCAAACGTACGAGACATTCTCTTTGTCGATTTTTTTTTTTTCCCTCCCTTGTGACTCTGTCAATAGAATATTTGGATTTTGCTGGCTGGGTAAAATTGTGTTCCTCGGCATTTGAATGTTGACCTGGGACGGGCTCCTACCGAGGAGCATCGAGGGGTTGGGGCTTGCAGAACAAAAGGAAGTCAGCACTTAATTTCATTTGCCCGTCTACTCTTATTTAATGCCAAAATCATCCTTAGCGCGTACTCAATTATGTGATGGCTATTTAACATTTATCATAACAGTTGTGTTTGTTTATCCTTTCAGATAATGTAGACACTGGTTTTTTTAAATAAGCGAACTGAAGGCCTCAAGACATTACTCTAACGTTTGTATTTAATGTCAGTGAATGATTGTGATTGGCGACGGATTTCTAGTTTTCCCACTTATTTCGGTGAGATATTGCTAGTTTGGCGGTGAGAAGAGGTATTTTCAACGATGACGATTGCTACGAGGGGTCAGGGGGTCGGAATTGATCCACCTGAGAATCAGCAGACAACACAGGTATGAGATCAATTAATTTTTACAATTATACCACTCAAATGAGTTATTTCATTCAGTCCAACCTCTAAAAATATTAATACATATTCGACATGCCTTTTTTTTCCGATCCTCATAAGTCAAAAATAAATTGATCAATGGAGCAATGGATCAATGAAACACAGCTCTTTATTGAGAGCCATTTCATCAACAATTGAGTGAACACAATTGAGTTTCACATGTGTGAATTGACCACATACTCCAACTCACTTTTTCATTCTTTCGCAGGGATTTATTTTGAAATAATTGTCATTATTCATTCGGTTGTTGTAACAATATTTCATTTGTCCCGGTTGGTTGTGAAAAGAAGCCGGTGAAAAATGGAATCATACCTTACGTGAAAATGATGGATCGGAGAGTCGATGAAAAATCCTGGTTAGGCTTGAAAAATTCTCGGAGAATGACACAGCGCCCTCGGAATTTCAGATGCACAGTCCGCAAGGTCCTCAGCAGTTGGCAGATGCGATATCAGGCCTGCAATTAACGGAGAACGTGTCCCAAACAGACTGTCAGCCAGATCCAACTCTCGATAATACAAATTGCCAGCGTTCAGAGCCGGACTTTCCCCACGCGAAGCTCGCAACACTCGACGAGAAAATAAATTCCTCCCGATGGGTAGTCCCGGTGCTGCCAGACCAGGAGCTCCGATGCCTTCTCGAGGCAAGCATAGAGCTCTGCAAAAAGGGAATAGACGTTCACAGCGAGGCTTGCCAGCGTTTCTTCCGCGAGGGTCTCACCATTTCCTTCACCAAAATCCTCACTGATGACGCTGTCAATAGTTGGAAGCCCCACATTCACGCATGCATAACCGATAATTGCGACAAACTCGTTGAGCTGTGCGTGAGAAAACTCGATGAGGATTGGTTTCCCCTGCTCGACCTGTTGGCAATGGTCTTCAATCCAAACAATAAATTCCACACTTTCAATGCCTCACAAGCCTCTGAGACAGTCCCCCCAGGGAGTAATATTCCCGATGAAGAGCTGTACGCACGTCCACCCCCAGATCCACGAAGTCCTCGAGGTCGTCTTGTTGATCTTATCAACAAATTTGGCAGCCTCGATGGTTTTGTCATCCTTCTGTCAAGATTCCAGAGTGGACGAAATTTAACAATTCCAGTTATTCACGCTCTCCTACGACCATTCGGTCTCTGCTACGAACTTTTAACAGTTCATACGATAGTCAAATACCTCATGCCCATCATCGAAATGGTGCCAATTATTCTGGATAACCTCACCGACGACGAACTCAAGAAAGAGGCCAAAAATGAGTCGAAGAACGACGCTATATCAGCCATTATCAAAGCCATGAAGTGTCTGGTGTCACGAGTGCCTGGCCAGGAGGCAATGATCAAGAACCTTGAAATATTGAGACTGAAAATGATCCTGAGACTGCTTCAGATATCCTCCTTCAATGGCAAGATGAATGCCCTCAACGAGGTCAACAAAGTCATAACAAGTGTCAGTTATTATCCACATCGTAATCCCTCGTTGGAGGACGAGGAGTGGCTGACAGCTGAGAGGATGGCAAAGTGGATAAAGGACAATGGTGTTTTAGAGATAGTCCTCCGGGACTCGTTACACCAGCCCCAGTATGTCGAGAAGCTAGAGAAAATCCTTCGTTTTATAATTAAAGAGCGAGCCCTGACTCTTGAGGATCTCGATGCTGTGTGGGCAGCCCAGGCTGGCAAACACGAGGCTATCGTTAAAAATGTGCATGATCTTTTGGCGAAAGTCGCCTGGGATTTTAGTCCAGAGCAGCTCGATCACTTATTCGAGTGCTTCCAAATGAGCTGGAAGACAGCCAACAAGAAGCAACGTGAGAAGCTACTCGAGTTGATTCGCCGACTTGCTGAGGACGACAAGGACGGAGTGATGGCCCATAAAGTGTTAACACTCTTTTGGAATCTTGCTCATTCTGATGAGGTACCAACTGAAATAATGGATCAGGCGCTCAATGCTCACGTAAAGATTCTCGATTACTCGTGCTCCCAGGATAGGGACGCCCAGAAAACTGTCTGGCTTGACAAGTGTGTGGAGGAGCTCAAGAGTGGGGACAAGTGGGCCCTACCAGCATTGAAGCAGATTAGGGAAATTTGCTGTTTGTACGAGCCCAATCCCAATATTGCCAACAACCAGCGCAGTCATCACGTTTACTACAGGCAAGAGGTAATCGAGCGCCTCCAGAATCAACACAGTGTCGTTATACTGGTCACCAATAGCCTGACAAATTACATGGACAAAGTGAGGCAGTTGGTCAGAGAGAATTCTGATATAGATGTGATGACTTTCATGCCAGACGGTCGTTACAATCACGTTATGCAGGTCCAGGAGAGGTTAAATTTTCTTAGATTTCTCCTCAAGGACGGTCAACTGTGGCTCTGCGCTGAGCAGGCCAAACAAATTTGGCAGTGTCTCGCCGATCAGGCTGTTTTTGTCTCTGACAGAGAGGCATGCTTCAAGTGGTTTTCCAAGCTAATGGGAGAGGAGCCCGATCTCGATCCAGCCATCAATAAGGACTTTTTTGAGAATAATATTCTCCAGCTAGATCCCACATTATTGACAGAGAGTGGAATAAAGTGCTATGAGAGATTCTTCAAGGCTGTCAACTCGAAAGAGGGAAAGTTGAAGTTGAAGAGACGAACTTTTCTGATGGACGATGTCGATCTCATCGGCACTGACTACCTCTGGAGAGTTGTCACCAACAGTCCAGAGGAAATAGCTAATCGGGGGATCGAGCTGCTCAAAGAGGTGAACACGAATTTGGGGCCTAGACTACAGCTCTCGGTTCTGGCATTTCACGAGACGTACATTGCTGAGTGTATGGACAGACTGAGAGCTCACTACGATACGGTGACGGTATTAAGTGATGTTGTCGTTGAAGGCAAGGAGGAGACAGATGAGCAGGTGTCGAATAAAATAAAAAATGAAGCTCTGAAGATGTGCAGGGTGATGAAGGTCCTACAGGAATACATAAACGAGTGTGACACTGCGTTTCCAGGGGAAAGGAAAATTCTACCACTTCACAGAGCTGCACGGGGCAAACACATGTCCCTAGTCATTCGTTTTGTTAATCCAGGTCGGAGTATCGATGACATCGAGATCTACACTCACAGCAATGATACACTGGCATCTCTCAGGCGACAAATTCTTCGGAGAATCAAGGCTAGCGGGACAAATGTCAAGCTGGATCTATTTATCAATGGAGAATCTTTGGAGCAGGCAGATGACAGAAAATTACTCTCGCAAATTCCATTGAGAGACAAAATGCTACTATCTGCTAAGCTATCCCAAATTAACAGCAATATGCCGAGCTCTCCAGACAGCAGTTCAGATTCATCGACGAGCTCACCCCATCATCCCTACGATGGACCCAATTTGGAAGCTGAAAACAGTCTCCCGGGTGTGGTGATGTCACAGCGAGCACAACATGCTACATTTTTCTTTCAACTGTCAGATCTGGGATGCTCGTTGAAACATTCAAGCCTTCGTGATGGTGCCCGTAATTTACTTCAGCTTGTACCCCCAGATGCCCTGACTGTTCTCAGGCTCCAGTGGCTCTTTGGCCACTACAAGAACGACGAGATGTCACTGAATCCCCACTGTAATGAGCAGAACACAAGTGTCGACACTTTATTCTTTGCAGTATCTGCCAGTCAGGTTTTGTATAATCTGGAGGTACTTTATACTCTTCTGATGCCCGCTCTGGATCCCCTCTCGGAGAAAGCCTTTGATTTTCAACTGAATTTTATAAAGAGTGGAGAGGCCGGTGTGATTCTAGACATGCTAACGAAGAACAAATTTCTGCCGAATGCTGATGAGACGACAAAACGATCGGCTTATCTCACTGTTCTCAAGCTCTGCAAACTTTTACTTACAGTTATTGGGAATTTGATGGCTTGTGTGATGGACGAGGTACAGCAAGCGACTATACCAGAAAATCATGATACGCATTTTCACAATAATCGTAGCCTCGTTGCTATTCTAAAGCAAGCCCTCCACACTGTGCCCAATCAAAATACTGAGTACATGCTGAGGAGTGTTGCTACGAAGTTGGCGCAACATTTGGCGAGTCAAATGTTATCTCGAGGGCCTGAGTCTGACCGATGTCGTCAGCTTTTTATCCAGGCACTGTCCTGGGAGCTGCCAGACATGGCAACCATTCGTGCCATTATTAAACTCGCTTGGGCAGCCTCATCTGGTAATCTCAATCACGCTGATGGAACTATTGAGATGCTGCATACTATGCACGAGGCAAATCAGAAAGAGCAAAAGACTCCAGATGCTAACGATGTGCTTGTTTGCAAGGAGGCCCTGGAGGTACTCACCATTGCCCTCGTTCTCAATCCATCTGCCCTATCGTCCTTAACAAAAGAAAAACTCTGGCACACTTTTCTAACGGATCTTGTCCTGGGAAGTCCGTCCAGGGCCATTAGAATCGCAGCTGCTGAGCAATTTCTCCTTATATCAACCTGGTGTAACTCCAATCATCAATCCTTTCAAAACACCATTCTCCTGCTTTTCGCTGTCCTCGATACGACTGTTGTGGAGAACGCCAAGCAGAGTCACGAGTATTTTCAATTGCTCTGCAGACTTTTGAATTGCGCCCACATATCTGTGTGTCCTCTCCCCTCGGCTGAAGCCCTCCTCGGTGTGGAGGTAACCTGGCTCAAGAAGGTTAAAGAAGCTGTGATGGAGTCTGGAGAAATAGCCATTGATGAGGCTCTCCTAGAGGGTCATCTGAGTCTAACAAAAGAACTTCTTGCCTTTCTCCCGGCCTCGAAGAAGTATGAGCTCGGATGCGATGAAAAACGTGGTGACAATCTCATCAAAGAACTCGTCGAGGACTTTATCTTTCCTGCATCTAGACTAATGCTTCAATTGAGAAGCACTGGCGAGCTGAGCTCCACTCAGGCCAGTCCTGTATGCACAACTCCTCAATCAACGAGTGCAGCCTTTGATTTACTTGTCGGGCTGTGTGTAAGGTGTGTTCCTAATATGAAACTTCTAGTCACCATGCTAACAGACATGTTTTACTCGGATCGAGACGAGCCACTTAACGAGTGGGATTATTTGCCACCAGTGGGACCGAGGCCCCTCAAAGGTTTCGTCGGGCTGAAGAATGCTGGTGCCACTTGCTACATGAACTCTGTTCTCCAGCAGTTGTACATGGTGGAGAGCATTAGGGTAGGACTCCTGATGGCTGAAGGAGCTGCCACTGATCTCAACGAGGATTTCTCGGGAGAAGAGAGAGTCGATGGTGAGCAAACTATCGAGGCCAGTGACAATGACACCAACGAGGAAAAGTGTGGAGTTGATGAGTCAAGAAAAGAGTACAATATTGGAATTCTCAAACAAGTGCAAGCGATATTTGGCCATCTCGCTTACAGCAAGCTCCAGTACTACATCCCTAGAGGTCTTTGGAAGCACTTCAAATTGCAGGGGGAACCTGTCAATCTCAGAGAACAACAGGACGCTGTGGAATTTTTTATGAGTCTTGTGGAGAGTCTTGACGAGGCCCTGAAGGCTCTGGGCCACGAGCAGATTATGGGTAAAATCCTAGGTGGATCGTACAGCGACCAAAAAATCTGCAAGGGCTGTCCCCACAGATACTCCAAAGAGGAGCCCTTCAGTGTTATCAGTGTTGACATAAGAAATCACAGTAATCTACTGGATTCTCTCGAGCAGTACGTCAAGGGGGAACTTCTCGAGGGGGCTGACGCCTATCACTGCGACAAGTGCAACAAGAAGGTTGTCACTGTTAAACGTCTATGCGTCAAAAAATTACCACCAATTCTGGCTATTCAGCTTAAACGATTTGAATACGATTTTGAACGTGTGTGTGCTATCAAGTTCAATGACTATTTCGAATTTCCCAGAGATTTGGATATGGAGCCGTACACTGTCAATGGGCTTGCAAAACTCGAGGGAGAGGTGATAGACTGCGATTACGATCAAGTCAATAAGGGAACGTGTACAAAGTATCAGTTGAGTGGAATAGTGGTTCACAGTGGTCAGGCCTCTGGTGGGCATTACTATTCGTATATTCTTCACAGGCAGAACGATGGTACTGCCAAGTGGTACAAGTTCGATGATGGCGATGTAACAGAGTGCAAGATGGAGGAGGAGGAGGAGATGAAATCACAGTGCTTTGGGGGAGATTACATGGGTGAAGTGTTCGATCAGATGCTCAAACGAATGAACTTTAGGAGGCAGAAACGCTGGTGGAATGCTTACATGCTCTTCTACACTCGGCTCGATGTCGAGGAAAATTCCCTCATGAAGAGTGTCAATGAATTATCATTGTACACCAAGTTGGGTGTGATGAAAATGCCACCTGCCATTGAATACAGCGTGAGAAAGCAGAATATCAAGTTCATGCACAATAGGAATCAATTTAGTCCCGAATATTTTCAATTTATCAGGAAGCTCGTCTCGTGCAATTCACTTCATACCACCCGACTAAATCTCAATGATAAGCTGAGTCCGGAGGCCGAGGAGTTATCGATGCTGTCGGTTCAGCTTGCCTCGAGATTTTTATTCTACACTGGCTTTCACACGAAAAAAACCCTCCGGGGCACTGCAATGGACTGGTATGATATTCTGTGCCACCACTTGAGGGACAGTAAAGCCGTTCGCTCGTGGTTTGCCCACAATGTTCTATTCAATCATCCCCACAGATTCTGCGAGTACCTCCTGAGCTGTCCTAGCACTGAAGTTCGATCGGCATTTCTCAAAATTCTCGTCTTTCTTGCTCACTTTTCCCTTCAGGATGGCCCCTGTGCGCCCCCAAGCCTCAATGCCCCCTCCATTCTTTTGGATCCAACAGCAACGCTCAGCGATCATCTTCTTCACGCTGTTCTATCGCTGCTACATCGAGAAATTTCGGACCATGGCCGACACCTGCCCCACTATTTCTCATTATTCCATTCGTATGCCACCCTGGGACTTCCTGAGAAACAACAGCTCCTCAAGCTCAACGTTCCAGTGACATTTATGCTTGTGGCTATTGATGAGGGACCGGGGCCAACGATCAAGTATCAGTATCCAGAGCTTACCAAGCTCCATCAAGTTGTCAGTATGTTGATCAGGTGTTGTGATGTCTCATCGCGATGCCAGTCAAGCCATGCACCATCGGGAATTCCTGTGCTACCCAATCCTTATGGGGATCCTCAGTGTCAGAGAGACTATCTAATGGTTATTCAGCCCCAGGCTGCTGAGATCCTCTTCACAAGGACAAGCTATATGAAGAAGCTCATTGAAGATGCTAATATCACCGAGGACACTGTTAAATTGCTCCAATACTGCTGCTGGGAGAATCCTCATTTATCGCGGACCATTTTGAGTGAACTCCTCTGGCAAATTGGCTTTGCCTACACTCACGAGCTCAGACATCACACTGATCTTCTTTTGGCCATGCTCCTCATGGAGGACTCCTGGCAGACCCACAGAGTTCACAATGCTCTCAAAGGTGTACCCGAGGAGAGGGAGGGACTCTTCGATACCATACAAAGAAGCAAGAATCACTACCAGAAGAGAGCCTATCAGTGTATCAAGTGCATGGTGTCGCTGTTTAGCAAGTGTCGACCTGCTCATCAGTTGCTCTATCAGAATGCTGAGATGAAGAGGAAGTGGCTTCTTGCCATCGACTGGCTCCAGGATGAGCTTGAGAAAAGGCCATACACATCGGCACCACCTTACAGTCATGCTTACAATAATTGGTCCCCACCGACACAATCCAATGAGTCAACCAATGGCTACTATTTGGAAAGGAGTAATTCAGCTAAAAAAACACTCGAGAGGGCTTTTGAACTCTGTCCTGATGAGGAGCCCGAAGTCGAGGAGGCTATGTAAGTGTCTCTCCACAATACAATTTTCTCTAACATTAACAATTTCTTATTACTAAAATTTAATGTTTTAGTTATGCAAGCCAACCAGACGTGACAGTTACCCAACAAATGGAGGATCAAGAGACCCAGCAGTCCCACCAACCGACCCCATCTCCAGTACACACCATTCACACATCACACCAGGTACACAAGTCTCAAAATAGTGAATCACCACAGACCACCAATCAGGATCCATAATGAATGGTTCACCTGAATTCACGGCTATTCCGCTTTCACGATTAAAATCGTTAACAATAGATGACTGTGACGCTCGTTTAAATGAATTCATCGCACTTAGAGACAAGTTAAAAAGTCAAAGCTAGTTACTGAGAGCTGTACAAAATACATTTGAAACGCGTTTTTTCGTCACACGTCTCTATTATTTTTCCAACAGAAATCAATCGCTCGTGTGGATCGAGTGAAAATTGTTGAAAGAGGGAGAACAATTAGGTCAGAGAAATGTATAGTTGTGTAATTGTGATTATTGGGATCCAGTCTATTGTCAAGAGAACAGCAAATCAAGTACCATAATGCAGTTTCATTTCGTTAGTATCTATGTAAATTTGAACATAATGTTATGAAATAAAGCACTAGGAGATGATGAAGGAAAAAAACGGAGTGGAAGGGGGGAGGGGCGGAGGGTGGACGGTAAGAAACGGGAGTGACATTTTTCTGTTTTTCCAATCGTAAGATTAAATTGCAAGATTTTTGTACTTAATCACTGACATCCACAGTGATACCTTATCGTGCGCATTTTTTTTTCTTCTTTTTCAAAGAGCTTAGCGTATTCTGGTCCCTGAATTCGCTTGCCACGTCTTTTTTTTTCACCTGTTTTTTTTTTTTTTTTATGATGAAAACCGATATCATGAAACATTGTGCCTTTCCTTTTGCACCAGAATTTTCCCATCTAATCGAAATGTAATTTTCAATGTATTTGAAATTTTCAAACTGTTAGTAGGCTTTTTTTGTGAGACCGTGGACGGATCCGGATAATTACCGTATACTGACGAGTATGGGAAAATGGGGCGAAATGGGCTCATTATGATTTTTTTTTAAATAAATTTTGCCAAGTGTCGATTGAAATGGAAACAATTGATTTGGAAAAAAAAATAGTCTCATGTCTCCAATTGAAAATCTTTAGGCTTTCAATATCTGGAGAAAAAAAAAGCGTCGCCCATTTAGCACCAACATTCCCTGACTTCTGTTGCGAGGAAAAAAAATTAACGAGTTTATAGTAGAATGCTGGAGATAGGGTAAAAATTCAGGGATTAATAGGAATAAAGAGAGGAACGAGGAAATTGGAGGATAATTTGCCACATTTCCGTATGAAGTTTTGTACTTTGAAAATATTTTTTATGTCCGAGAGTAGTGGAGGGAAGTAGTAGGTGCATTATTGGTCGATTGTCCTGGAGATGATGACATTAGAAAAAAAAATTTTATAAACCCGCTGCGCTATCTGAATTTCAATAGAATAATTTGTCAAGTTAATTCTCTCTTTATTCCATTTAATTGGAAGAATTTCGAGTTGTATCGCTGTAAGATACGAGCCATCGTATTGGAGCTGTGGTCTCTTCTGAAATGGCGGTATTTTCAATGAATTTAGTAGGGAAGAGTGTCATTACCTCGGAAAAAAAGGAAAATTAATAGATGGGTTGAATTGATTGTGGCTTTGCTGTGGTGATGGCGTCGATTATTTTGAACTGATCACAGCTCCATTACTCGTAATAACGTATGTTATATAGATATTAAAGAATAAAACCGAAAAACGTCACTCGATTAGGTACAAGTGTGACAATCGCGTGTGTACGTCGACATTTATGAATAATGAGACATTTAATCAACGACTATCCCACATGACATCTCCCAAACAATAGCCATCACTGTGAATTTCCCTTTATTTTGTTATCAATCGTTATGATTATTAAAATTCACTATCCCATGATTATTCAAGCGATTATTCAGGTTTAAACATTTTATTGCTGAGATTGGGTTTTTAAAAATCGTATGTACATATAATATAACTGCTTTTGTATGTGATAAAAATTATTATATTTCTATTTTACAATTTTGAGAGCGGAGCTGTTGTAAATCATGGTTTTTTTTTTTGTACACAGAGACTCTTACTGCTAAGTTTAGCCCTTTCTTTTTGTTATTGAAGAGTATAGTTGATAATTATTTAATTATTTAATGATGTCACTGAGTGTAACGTCTTTGAGCGATGGATTTTTTTTTTCCTCAATCAACAGGAACAGGACGATTATTCCAGGAATATCATTTACTGACCTTGAGAGAAAATTCAGGGTGTTTATCCATTTTTTTCAACTTTAGAAATTCATAATAACTTGCTAAATAGAAATAAGCATTGGTGTATAAAAAAAAATGCTTTATTCATTATTTTATTTATGGTTAATTGGAATTTTTATCTATATAAAGGAGATAATCACATAAAAAGAGAGTATCAGTTGATGAAATATTCTGGATAAACATTGTTAGAATTTTCACAACTTGAAATGGTAAAAATTGACATTACCACGGAATACTGAAAGGAATCGCACGCTAGGATTCTAGTCAGTAAAACAGTCAAGCGGAAAAATAATGAATTTTACAATTTTTCAATGAATAAAGTCCAGCCATCATTGATTGAGGTGTTGAACATTAATCTTAATCAAATCCTTGACTTTCTCGCTCAAGACTGCCATGCGAATTGATTCCACCAAACACCCGATGGCTACAACAATTCGGTATTCGGTATCGAAGGGGTAAAACTGTTCACCACCACCACCACCACCATCGCCACACCCTCAGTTCTTGCATAATATCCCAAAACCTCATGGAGATGGACCGAAAAGGTTATTCCACGAGCGAACAACACAAACTATTAAAAATATCCAGAGTAATGTTTGTACGAATTTTTTTGTTGAGACGATTGAGCAGACCTCCATTCATTTTTTTATCCTACTATTTTTTTCTACCCCCGGACAGCCTCCGCAATATCGAACCGTTTCGCCTCTCCGCTATTGAATTTTAATGCAAAATTCAGAGCAATGAATTTAGTTTTAACGAAGAGAGTTGAGAAAAGAATACAAAAATATATTATATGTAAAAGATTCTTACCAAAGCCAAAAAAAAAAACGATTATGCCGACTTTGATACTAACAAGCTTCGAGTTTAAGAAAACAGAGTAAAAAAAGAACGAAAAAAAAAAAACGAAAAAAAAAAGTAATTGAACATTAAAGAATTGTTCAACAGCAATTTTTTGAAATATCAATTGATAGTTTTCTCGAGGGAGAACGGGAGTCGTTCACCGAATTCTCCTGCAATTCATTATAATGAAAAAATGACGGAGAATTAATGGATAAAAAAAGGCAAGTCACTGGGCTACTGAAAAATTTATGAAAACAAGAATAAGAGAGTTACTAGTGTAAGCAATCAAACACCTGTACATAACGACATGATATTAAAAGAATAAAAACCAAAATAAATGACAAACAATATCGAACTCAGCAATTGAATAAATTACACGACTAACTTAATGACTGTAACAGCTGCGCTTTTATTTAAACATTAATTTCTTTTGCACACAGGTTACACTAGACATTGAGTGTTTTCCACAAAGCCAACAAGATAATTGTCACCAGGAGCCTTGAAAAAACATTTGCGCTCTTCAATATTGAAAAGATAAACGAGTGAATAATGCACTTTTAATGCGATTGTATTTAAATCGATGAAATGTCTTGGAGGAGAATGTTTCTACTCGAAAAATATATATAATAATAAATAAATAACGCGTAAACGTTGTACTGTAAATAAAATAGGTATTTACATGGACATCTGTGTCACTGTCATTGCTCGGTGCTTTCACGACGAATCAATTAATGGAAAAAAAAACAGACCAGAACAAAAAAAAAAAAGTGTCAACTTGGCTCAATCGAGAATATTTTTTCATCGAAGTGAGAATGAAAATGGTACCAGGTTATCAAGGAACGTCAGAACTGGCCTCGCAGTGTGCAATTATTAAAGTTATTATTCAATTGAAGAGTAAGGAGCTAGAAGAAAATTCTGCTGGACGATTAGATGAATAGAAAGTGATTTTTCATTCTTGGGACATGAAATAAATTGACCAATTAGCAGATTTCCGAGGCATTTTCAGCCGAATATTATTATTGATAGACACCCAGTTGGGAATTTCGAAGGATTCTTTCGGTCTAGGCATTTATTGTAAGCATTTTCAGTCTGTCTGAACATTCACGTCGAAATTTAATAGGAAATTCCAGTTTTCTGAGGGCTTTATTATTAATGCCGAGTGGAAAATTGGGAAAAATTTCTTTAGTAAATGTTTTTCAAACATGAGCAAATTTTTTCTCTGAGTGATAATTTCATGTAATCTGCAGAGAAATTATTTTTTCCCATTCTCCAAATGGAAAATATTTTCTTAGAGACTGTGATTTTTCCATTGAATTTCACACATTCACTTTGAATAGTAGTGATTTTCTTGCAGTTTTTTCAACAAAATGCAGGCATTCCATTTGGATTTCTAAAACTTGAATGAGATGAGACTAATGCACTGGAAATAATGAAAATACGAGTTTGTGTATTATTTCTACCGAATGATAATAAAATGTTGAACCGTCTCGGGATATTTATTTAGAGCCCCTAGTACTAGGATGACACATGTCTCGATTTTTGCCAAATCCCCATGATTAAACTATTCTGTAAATATATAGGAATGCTCATGTCCACTTATCAGTTATTACATGATTAATTTCTTAACGGGTTATCTCCCCCTGACATTTGTTGCTGTTTGTTGGCATGATCTCGTCAGTTTGGAAGTGAATATTGGAGAATGGAGAGCTTTACGTGTGTTCAAGATTTTGAGGATTCTGCCCTCAAACTCCTCCCAACACCTGTCAGAGATTATTATAAGAGTGGAGCGGGGGGAGAAGTGACACTTCAGTGGAATATAAAAGCCTTTAAACAGTATGTGTTACCATATTTAAGGATTTCTCCCCCCCCCCTTTTTTTTTCTCCATTAATCCCTACGTCGCCAGCTGATTTTTTTTTTATTTTCATTTTTTCACTGTTATTATTCAGCCTTGCTGAGAAAACAATAATTATACGTATCTTTAGATTTAGAATCCGACCTCGAGTACTGAGAAATGCCTCGAAGGTCGACATGAGGACTAGAGTCCTTGGAGAGGAAGTTTCGATGCCCCTTGGGGTGGCTCCCACGGCAATGCAGCGGATGGCTCATCCGGACGGTGAATGCGCCAACGCCAAAGGTAAAATCCACCGCAGTACAATTAAATAATTACTATATTAACAGTCAATCATTGAGCACTGTTTCTTTATTAATGAAATCTCACTTAGTCACAGGCTATACAAAAATATATCTTAATTATCAGTCGAATAATAATAAAGATTAAATGGAAATAACAAAAATGAAGTTGAGCAAATGTGCGCATTGGAATTGACAAAGTATCCGGCGGTTCTGACGTATCGCGGTTCATAAGGCACTGCAAAAAGCTTACCATAATTTACATTCAATTCTCCAATAAATTAATTTTTTAACACATGTAGTGGAAAAAATAGACATTTTATGTCTGTGCCTTCGGCTTGACCCTTCGGAGATTACGTCACGTATGCATCGCATGCATGTGTGTCTCGAACCTATAGTGAGAGCTGTCTATGGGGGGCGAAGGGCGCTTCGATCCGCCATCAAGTGTCGGTTAGCGCGGTTGACGCGGGATTCGTCAGTACGCTTTCGTTTTGCAAAGCGCGTATGTGTGTCTAGAAAACGTTGTTGTAACGTTCGTTGTTTTTATTTCTTCTATCAATAATAGGTGCCCTAAATGAGAGTGAGTCTATGGTAAGTATCCCCCCTAGCATTTCTTTTCAGGTTTATGAGCTTTTTTGGAGAAATTTTCCAATTCTCCAAAAACCACGCAGGTTGGAATAATGGACGACCATGATCAACTGATCAGGCGTCGACGGCTGCGGAGCCGTCGACGGCTGCGGAGCCGTCGACGGCTCCGGAGCCGTCAAAGCGCCTCAATCTTAAAGCCTCGGGTTTTTGCAGGTTTCACCTCAATCCCTTCTAGGAGGCTAGCTCACAGAACTTTCTTGAGCTCTTGGGATCCGCAGGTTTCACCTCGATCCTTGCAGGTTATTTCCTTACATCTT